GGGGGGGCACAAGAGGGCGCCAAAGTAGGACATTTTACCGAATTTCCTGAATTCTGATGGAATTTCATCAAATTTGAGATACTTTTCACTTCGGGAAACATAGAGCACATTAAAGGTACGAAAAGATTAAACATTCTTAGAATGCTTAAATATAAGGTTGCATGTAAAATACTTGTTAAGAAGCATTTTGCATTTATTCGACCTTTACTGGAATATTCTGATGTTATGCGGGACAAACTGTTCTCTTTTAGAAGATATACAAGTTGAAGTCAAGCAGGCAGAATTATCCCTGGATTAAGACGAAACTCTTCTCGTTCAAAATTGTATTGGAAATTAGGATGGGATCTTTTAGAAATAAACAAGGAGAAAATTTCATGTTAATATATAATTATATAAAATGGCTATTCACCTCAATATTTGTATGATTTAATAAAACCTTATTGCCCATTAAGTCATTCTCACAATCTCAGAACCAATGATGTACAATTCAAAATTCCTCGGAATAGAAGAACATCTTACATGGAATGTTTTCTTCCTTCAACAGTCAAACAATGGAATATTTTGTCACATTATATTAAAAATGTTCCTGGAATATCTTCATTCAAGAGTGTTTTGAAATACTACTTTTGTAGTAAAAGTAATGAACTTTTTCATTTCGGAATAAGAAATACAATTAATATTGTACAGTTATTGCTGTTTTTGAGATCAATACGATAATTTAGCCACCTAATGAGTACAATATTCATCGAATCCCAAGGACGAAGTGAATAGTGTAATTCGAAGGTGGCTATATCATCGTATTGACTGAAAACAACAGCAATAATTGTTTTATTGTATGATTCAATGATTTAATGATAGAATCTCATTAAGCAATCCATGCCATCTTAGTGGTTTACATTTGCTGAAGTCCTAACCAATCGCAATGAGAGAAGCGGGGTTAGAATAAACACTAACAGTTTTATTAGTTTGGAATTTCTAAATTTACTCTAGCTAGGTGCGATGTAGAAAAAATAAATGTCAAGGCACGTAAAAAGGATTGATTTTGAAGAAGGGGGCATTACAAAGAAAAAAATTTATAACTATAAACCCGGAAAAAAATTCTTTAACTAGCCCCCCCCCCCTCCCCTCCAAGAATAAAATTTTCCCAACTTCAAATTCTATTTCGGGGTGGGGGTGTTGTTAAGGTCCTTTAGCGGGGGACCAGCCTTTCAGTGAATATTTTTATAACTAATTAAAAGTAAAAATTTACGTTCAGAAAAAAGGGGGACAAGCACCCTGCACCCCCTCCGATTCTATATGCCTGATTCTGGACTAAATCAATTTGGGATGTCAGCCAATCAGAGAGATAGGAAATATTCAATCATATAATAAAATACGTTATTATATGCTTGAATAATTCCTATCTATCTGATTGGCTGAGATCCAACATTGTAGAAAAAATACAACGTTATGTTCACGTGACCTCCAGGTGAATATAAGGATTTATTTTTTCTACATTGGACTAAAAATAGAAAGAGAGATTCCAAATTGATACAAATAGTTTTATAAATTTATTTCACTTGCACCACTACTCAGGTGAACAATACATTCAGGCACATAAATCTGGAGTGGGGTGTGGGGATACGGGGGGGGGGGCTGTTCCCCCCAAAAAACTTTTTTCTGAACGTAATTTTTTTACTTTTAATTTTAAAATATGAAAATTTTTATTTTTTTGGGGGGGGGGGGCGGGGGGGGGTCAAAGCTTTCTTTCCCCGATAAGTTGTCAGATATTTTCCTTTAAACACCCCCCCCCCCGTTTTTTTTTTAAATGGATTCTATATGCTTATTTTAATCCTGCTTCTCGCGTGCTTTGTTAGGACTTCAAAAAGTGTAAACACCTAAGATGACATGGATTGCCTAATGAGTTTTAATCATGTAATCATTGAATCATATATTAAAACAATTATTGCTGTTTTTCAGTCAGTGAGATAATTTAGCCTCCTTCAAAGTAAAGTATTCATCTCGCCCTTGGGGCTCGGTGAATACTGTACTCCTCAGGTGGCTAAATCATCGTATTGACCTCAAAAACAGCAATAGTAGTGTATTGTCAGTTAAGGAATAATGCAAAAAATATTTGAGGGCAGACTTATTTACCCAATTTTTATCAGAAACTCCAGTGTGTAAACATTGCACTGATTCTGAGGAAGATGCTTACCATTACTTTCTTGTATGCCCAAAATATACAACTCCAACAGACTTTTTCCATCAGTGCATTAATATTATAAATTGTGCCATCTCTCTGAATACTAGTAGATCTATTATTAAATGGTAGTTCTAATCATGGACTTAATATCAATATTCAAATATCTGAAGCTGTACATACATTTTTAGCGACAATAAAACGATTTATATAAACACTGTCATTCATATAGCATTTTTGAATATTTCCAAACTGGTACTTCCGTTATTTTGCTTATTTTTCTTTGTAGTTTTGCTAATTTTCCTTTTTTTTCCTGTTCTTTTTGGTACATTTCTACCCTTTGCTCTATTTACCTTGACCTTGATGTAGAAGAGGGCTAAAATAGGCTTAGCCTGCTGCCCAATCCCATTCACTTCTGTGAATAAAATATTGTTTAATTATCCAAATCACTATTGGTAGTAAGCATCCCTGGAAGCATTATCCATGTGAATTTGGTCCAGGAAGGGCTTTATGAACTTAATCATACAATGCCAACACCTGGGGATTGGCATAAGCTCGTCTCAACTGTTTATGTGAACCAAAAAAAAAAAAAAAAAAAAAAAAACAACAAACAAACAAACAAACAAAACAACGGAAAAAAGGTGTTTTAATTTATTGGTTGTGTATAAAAAATATCAAAATCTACAGACAATAAATACTAAAATAGAATGCTTCATACTGCAGGCTTTTTACCCATACATATATTTTTTTTAATATCAACAACTATAATAAACCAGCTGTAAAAATGTTTAATGTTCATAATGCCTCATATCTACCCCCACCGACTTTGATTAGCCATGATATGCTGTGGTATCACAGAGTATATGTACACATATTCAAATATAAAAATAACGTGGTCAGAATTACAAAAACAAATCCAGAGTGTGGTGTTTTGTTCTGTTTTTTTTTTTTTACTAAAACGAATAAAATAAAGTATGTGTGCCTTTCAACATTTTTGTTCAAATGAGAGAATATACTGTACATGTACTTATAACAGTATTCAAAACAGGGCAGTGGTGATTGGCACAATAATTAATTAGCACTAACAAGTTTTTCCTTTGTTTGTGTGTTTGTTTTTAAACCTTCATCTTCATTTATTGTTAATAATTAATGGTACCAAAATATGACTACCTCTAAAATAAGTTACAATGAGTTACAAAAAAAATTGTTTATCAATTATTGAAACCAAAACTGTTTCATACATTTTAAATATTGTACTATAAGAAGGTTTAGCATATCTTAAGTAATGCAATACTCAAATTTTTTTTAAATACCCATTTGGTGTAAGTGTTCATTCAAAATATGATCTAGATATTGAAAACTGATGGTCTGAGGTGGCATCGAAGACTAGTTATGCAAATGTATAAGAAAACATAAACAAGTTAAATATAAAAAACTCATAAGCAGACTTCACCCAGGATATCATAAGACATACATGTAAATCCAAGCACCAACATGAACAACACAAAATTCTATAGAAGACATCCAATATTGCACATATAATGGAAATGCAACAAATCAACTTACTGTAAACCAACTTTCATTTGCTTATGAGAAATTACTTGAGTTTCATGGTAACCTTTAAATCACAAAAAAAATTTGTCGAATCACTTTTTTAATAATGTTCCTTAGAAGTTAGTTTATATAAAGTCTTTCATACTGAACGTTCATTTTTGCAAAATTTTAATTGACATCAGGGGTTCGCCAGATTACTAGTTAGCAGCCCCAAATAAAAGTTAGTTTATAGCAAATGCATATCATTAAGAACATTTTCTGTTCTATAAGGCAAAGATTAATGGCAATATAAACTGAGTATACATTATCAAATTGTAACAATATTAAGTTAATTAAAAATGAAATACATGTACAAGTAATAAAAACTGAAATAAAAGTTCATTGTTGTTCAAGTAATTTCCTTTTTCTAATGTCCAATTATATAGCAATGTAATGTTTACAGTTTCATTGAATTTAGTACTTCATACAAGTACATTTTCCAGTTTTGTGTTTAAAACACTATAAAAATACTACACATGATCTTATTACAATAGAGAGGTTGAGATTTCATACGTGTATGGGTATGTCTAGTAGGGGAATTCACTAGGTTCCTTGTGTATTACGTCATCAGTTTTAGTGATGACAAGTTGTCTTCACGTTCCTACAACGTGTAGAGTGGCATCTACACGTAAGTGTAAACCTGTAGCTTTTACAATAAAAATTTGTCAATTTATGTGTGAAAACATAACTGTTGTACATTATTTAGGATGTTTAGTTTCAGGAGCACTTATTCCAACCATCTTTTAGTTACTGGCTAAAGTCAGAGTGATGTCACAAATTGACCAAATAGTTGAAACGGAGACATCGATCGCAATGTACACGTTCATGTTACACAGGATTTAAAATCAAAGTCAAATTACAAAAACGTGTACATGTACGTCAAAGTATATCTACACGTACACTTACGCGTACAAGTTTAAGATCTCAACCTCTCTAATATCTTGGAAAAGGAGAAAGTTTTGTTGGAAAGGCAAGTAACTCAAATGTAATGTACAGGTGGGAAAATTAAAATTACAGCACAAAATACTGTAGGAAGACTACTTACAAAATTTTAATTACATTCTAATCACATGGTATAGTGCTGCCTTTATTCTTTAGTTCATTTTTATTATGATTCCATCCATGTATAAATCTCTCCCTTACCCCTTATAAAATGTTATTACATACAGTAAAACATGCTTATAGTGAAGTGCCAAGGAGGAACTGTTTTGATTTGTTATATCTGTTTATTTAATAATATGTTTTCAAAATATAGGATCTGAAAATCACTTTGTTTGTATTCATTGTAAGTGTTTTCAATGTAACCATGTTTTACTGTATTATACATTCACATAAAATAGCCTGAGGTTTAGTTCATTACTACAAAACATTTTAATCAATATCTATAAATCTAATCCCCCTCTCAGTTTTTCCTTCTCCTTTTTGGTTTGGGTTCCCCATGCTCTTTGCTTTTTTGTTTCTTTGGTTGCTCCTCCTCCATTTCTGAGGGACATACTTCTTGAGGGAGAATTTCCTCCAGTGTGTTTATTAGCATGTATCTAGAGAATACAATGTACAGGGCCCTGAACCACACAAACTGGCTCCAATGATTCAACATGGCCCACTGAAATCACAGAAAAATATCAGTTAAGCTTTATGAACAATTTATTTCTCTGTGATAACTCTTTGAAAGAATGTTAATTACTCGATATTTACAACTGAACGTAAATTTTGCTCAGTGAAAGGTTAAGTGTCTAATATGCATGTCAATTTTGGGCTGTCATTGTGTCTGACTTCATTTTCACAGCACATGCATGTATGCATGAATATTCATTTCTAATAAGAACATGCATCAAAATACATCACTCATAAAAGTTTTCTTAAGAAATGAATTTAATTTTTGAGAATTCATGAGAACATGAACTACGACGCTTCACGCCGGCATATTTCAAGAAGCATGTTAGCGCTTCATGATAAATATGCAGGCGTGAAGTGTTGTAGTTCATGTACCTCATGAATTATCAAAAATCAAATTCATATCTTATATTTACATTATTTTTCTGATGACTTGCCACATATTTTTGTCATTCAACAATCATTTTTGAAAAAAAAGTTTGCACTATTTTTTGACTTCAATTACGTCACAATGGAAATATTACTCATCCCACAATAGTTCATGAGAACGTGAACTTTTTCTAAATTGCAAAGAATCTTAAGGAAAAATATTTGGAAATGTAAATATTAAATAAAAAATACTCTTTCAAAAGCTTTCAAATCCTTCTCAAAACTCGTCTTTATTTTTAAATTTAAATTGCTACAAGAAATTCAAAGTTACTTGCCCATCCTTTTAATAATCCCCAAGGTGATACAACAGCCAAAAACTTGGATGTTAAGAGAGTTAAAGGAAGATCTAAAACTGAGACATATTTCCGAAGAATACTGGTGCTTTGTAGCTGGAATGCCCGCATATCTGAAAGCCAAATCCTAAAGATTTTATTTCATTAAATTTTTTTAATATCCATTTGTAAAATAAGAAAAAATTGCCATATAATTTTGAAATTATTCCATACTTGATTGTAAAATTAAAATCAGCGAGGTATCTTCCTATCATTTTCAAAAAGAAGAAAGCTAAAACAAAGGCATTAGACTATATTTCTCCATGTGTCATTTAATGACAGTGGTCAAAAATAAATAAGCAAACAAAAATTATCATATTTAATAAGTAATAAGAGCTATGAATTTACTGAATAAAAACTTACTGTTAGGAAGAATTCTTTTGTTACATAAACTTCTGCAATAAATTGAAAATGTTATCACATCAATTACCTGGTGCTATTAAAACTAACAGGATATTTGATGCAATATCTTGGCATTTTATTGAATGCTGAGTTTGTTTTTTTTTTTTAATAGATGATTAATGGCTTTTAAAAGGGAAATTTCTGCTCTTTAAAACAAGGGCAGTGAACTCCTTAGAATTTTGAAGTGCATGAAACTAGGTAAAACCACCAATAACATAATTGAGAAATAAATTACTGTTACTGATGCAGTTGTATTTATCGTTTAACTTGAACAATAATATGAATAGTGAACATCCGAACTTATTAATTAATGATTGAAGTTCAATTACTAAAATTATTAGTTAGTTTGAACTAATCGATAATTTAAAAAATCAATATGATCATGGCATTTATATTTGAATTTTACATAGGGATAATGAAAAATACTCACTGTAGTGCATCATGAATTGAAATGTGATTGCTGTGACCACTTACACCATAATTATCAAATGTTATGACCTAAAACAGAAGAGGTACATTAAGAGTGTTTATTTCATTTTAAAAAAAAAAGGTTCCACATTTCAGATTATCCATGTACTTCAACAAAACAAATCCAAATTTTCAGAGAGATGAGCATCTGTATTTTAAATATTCATATGGTGAATACCAAAAGGGATTCGCAAAAACTGTCTCAATCATATTATGATTTTTAAGTTTCAACTCCAATATTCAAATTTGAATTTCTCTCAGTTTTTCAAAAGTCCCATTACCTTAAAAATAGTGAGGTTTGACTATATTTTATAAAATATAATACACAAATCAATGCACATGTAAACATGAGTGAAATGAGCATGTGGATGTCAATGTTTAGTAAATTCTAAAACAAATTTTATTTATGAATTTTTTTTAGCTAACTTCTTACTAAAATGACAATGATATATTCATAATTTAAAATGAAATCCTAATAATATAAGACAAAAATGCCATGTACTCTTCACAGTAATTGCTATGCATTTGTCACTGAAATAAAAACATGCACGGCTGAGCATATAAGCTATGTGTACAAGAGTGGGAAGATGAATAAAACATTCCCTCTATCGTGCAACATCTTACCAAGTGTGGCTGTAAATAGTACATGACAGGCAGTATGATTTTCTCAACATCTCTTATTTTCCATGGATGTGCAGGATGATCTTGCAAGTCACTACAATGGCATACAACATGAAAAAGAATTTTAAACACCTTTCACTTTTTTTTTTAATTTACATTGAGTGATGATTATTTAAACATTATTTTTAATTTTTTAAAAAATTTATTCCATAACTTACCTGTGATTGAATAAATACACATTTCTAAGAGGAACGCCTAATGTTTCACAGCTGCTGAATAATTCAAGTGATCTGGTTTTTCCTAAGCCATAAAAATTTCCTTCAGAAAAAAAACAAACAATGCTAAAATTTATATAATTTCTGAAAGAAAAAAAAAATAAGAGTAGCATTAAAATTAATTAGAAAATTCAAATATTAATTTCAATAGTAAAAGTACAAGATAAATAAATATAATGATCTTCAAATTCCTTTCAATCACACTGAAATTTCAATGTTCCATCAGTATTAACTATTTAGTGTGAATACAATTTAAGATTAATTTTTTATTGGAAATCTTAAGCTGATCAATCGATGATGATGCAGGATTCCTAATGTAATTAAAAATAGATATTGCAAGTTAATTCAAGCAATATTGTCCATAAAAGTAACTTCTTGATGATGATAGATGATCTGACCTTCAGGGTTAAAATCTTGTATACTTAAACTGTATTAACACTTTGCTGCATTAACTTGCAGAAATTCAAGACTAAGACATTCATTGCATAACATTCAAGGAGGCAGAGACAGAGGGCTTTGGAATGCATGTACAAGCAGAGCATTACTGATTTAGCAGGGCTTCACCTAGAAACAGATAAATACACATATATACAAATAAAAATTATATCTCCAAACACACATACCATTAGAAAGACACAAGATGTGAACAAAATTCCCTGAGTTTATTAACGATTGGATGGTTGGTGAGAAAAACATGCATTCATCATCTGGATGGGCAGTGATAATCAACACTTTCTGCACCGAAATGGGGACCTTTGGTGTGATTGATAAGCGTCTCAGAAATCCAACAAAAAGATAAACAAGCAAGGAAAAAATTACAAAAGAAAATGCGATGGTGTAAGCATATTCTCTCAATATTTCCCAGTCAGTATCCATCCTTATTTATTTCCCCAGGCTCCTCCATCACGCAATGATAAAATTAGATGAATTCCGAATATATTGCAGCTACCGTAAATACAAAAAGTTTCCTTATCTAAGAGTAATGGTTAAAATTTACCTAATAAACACATAAAATTATCCATAATTAACCGTCTTATCTAACTTAAATTTTTAAGTGGGTGATACTAATCGAAATTTTTTATGTCGTAAATCTAAAGCAATCTTATTTCTGGTAATTGCGCATGCGCAATTAGATGTAAACAGTGTTGCTAGGGCAGGCAAAGCACTAGTAAGTTGATGTTAAAGAATTAGCATTTTAAATGCGATTTCTTACTTTCAGCATACAGTGATAAATCCGTAAACTATTTTACATATTCTTTTCATGATACAAATTAGATAGTGACAATGGCAGACGAGGAGGGAAAAAAGAGTCCTGTTCAAGATGAGGCTGCTGAGAAGGCGCCATCTCCAGTTGAAGAGAAACAAGCAGAGGACACTGCACCAAATGATGAAGAAACAACGGAACAAAAACCTGACGAAGAAAAGGAAGTAACAGAAGAGTCTAAGCCCGATGAAGCTGAATCCAAAACAGAAACAGAGGAGCAACAAGAAAAGACCCAACCAGATCAAGAGAAAGAGGAAGAACAGGTGTCAGAACCACCCAAAACCAAAGAGGAACCAGCTGAGGCTGTCTCAGATAGAAGATCACCAGAGGGAGGTACTGAAACCGGTGCACAAAGTGAACAGCAAACAGTTGATACACAACCTCCATCTGTTAAAGTGCCTTCACCTCCACCCAACACAGAGACAGTCCAAGATCAGAGTCAAGGACAAGATGCACCAGCTGTTATTCCTAGTGCACCAAAGATTCCATCACCAGAAAAGTCTGAGGTTACTGGTGAAGGTCTTGAAGGGACAATGTCAACTACTGCTCTAGTAAGTTAATATATTGTAACATTTTCTGAATAATATACCATAATCAATATTATATATTCATCAATTGAGTCTCTCTCTCTCTTTTCAAATAAGATTTTTTATTGATCTTTAATCTTTTATTTGGATTTTTAAACATTCATATGCTTAATGGGGTTTCTTGCATTTTCAGAATGTTATTTGGTCATTTGGTCTGAACAGAAATATCCCAGTCTTAAATCTCACAGACAATACAAGAAAACTTATTATGTATGCATGTGCACATGTTGGAGTACTTTATGATTTTGAAAACAATAGACAACACATTTTACAAGGACATGTAAGTATTACCTATTTCATTGAATATTTCTTGGGTTGTATTTCTGCACTTAAAATTCCTAAATGAATCAAAAAATATAGCTCCAGTGCATAACTGGTCTTTGTTATACACGTACATGTAATTGTATAAAAGTTCATAAGATTTCTTTTGTTAAGTAAGAAATCAAATTTAATGATAAAGACTAACTTTGATTTGATTATCCATATGAGTGAGTGCCATTCTTATTAAAATGTTTGCATTGTGTAGATAAATCCCTTGACCAGTACCTGTGTGAGTGAGGACAAGAGATGGTTGGCAACCGGAGACAAAGGGCAAGACTCAACAGTTATTGTTTGGGACACATACACAGGGTAAATAGCAGAGAACATGTTTTATTATGTAAATACTGTACATGGAATATACTAAGGAAGTGAAGATTGTGTTATTTTCATTTTGCACTCATACATGTATTAACAGGTACCACAATACATTTTGTTTGATCTCATTTTCTTAGCTCAGAAAAAAGTGCATAAATAAATAAAACTTTTTTTTTCAAATTCAGAGTTCCTGTGCAAACAATTTTTGATACCAACCCAAATGGGGGTGTTGTTGCTATGGCAATGACACCAGATGCAAGATATTTGGCAACACTGAGTGCAGCACCAACACAGGTAAGGTTTAGATCTGTTACTCCATGGAAGCACATATGAATGCATTATAAAAAAAAATCTCTTGCCTGAATACTGCATCTTGGTTATCATCATTGTAATACCACTGTAGCATACATACTTGCATTGACTATTATGTTGTTATGTTGCCCAGTGGGCCAGATGTTGAATTCTCATTATAAAACATTGTGGTTGTACAGAATAAAGCAAGTTACTATAATGACTGAGTTACTTACTTTACTTACCTATAGGTTTTATCTATTTGGAACTGGACAGTGGATGGGGACACTCCTCTATGTACTGCAGAATTAAACCCTAGCTATGGTGTACAGTCGTTCATTCATTTTAATCCTGATGACATTCATTTCCTTGTGTCAAATAGTGACTCTCAAGTTATATTCTATCAGTGGGTAAGTTCTACATCTGAATTATTGTAATGGATAATAAAAATTCAGAATGTGTATTAGGAAGTCAGCATTACTGATGTGTATTCCATAATGTAAATTTCATATATTGATTGCTCTTTCAGAGTGACAATCACATGGAATATTTTGCTCCTCCCCTAACAGACCAGGACTTCAACAAACCTGTGGGTCGTTACAGTCAGTCCATCTTCCAGAAAAACAGTACAAGGGTACTGACATCCACCTCTATAGGGAATCTAGTGGTCTGGGACACCAACAAACCACTTACTAAGTGTAAATTAGAATGCTTTTCATTATTTTCCACTGTACAGAAGATATTGTTACAAACTATAAAATGATGAACAAGTTTTTTTAAAAAAAAAAAGTAGAAGAAAACATGCTTTTTTTTGCAGTGAAAAATGCCCAGCCTTCTGCAGATAAGAAAGCATTAAAGATCATCAGACTTCAAGAGAGAGGAATCAATGTTCTCACAACAACAGAAAAGTAAAATTCCAATTATTAGTAACTTATTCTGAGTGCATAATAAGCTGAGAATGTATTCTAAAGATACTCAATTTTTCTAATGTTATCTAATGCTTTTTGAGAGAGTATTTTTATGATTCTTATTATTCAATATATGATTCTGATAATTTTGATAACATTTTCATGTTCCATTTTCTGTTTTTCCTATTGTAGTTTTATTGTTGTTGGAGATATGGCCGGCCATGTTAAGTTCTTTGATCAGAGTTTAAAACTTGTCCATTGGTAAGAAGATTTTTCTTTCAACTGGAACATTTGTTGTAATTAATTTTGTTTATGATATTTTAGTTTAATATTCTCTATGTAAATTATGTAGGTATCAGGACTTCCACTTAGGACCAGTGACCTCCATTACTTTTGCATTTTATCCCAATTTTGAACCAGTGTAAGTATGAATTTAAGATCAGTTTATTAATCTCCAAAACTGAAAATGTTATGAAAAATTAAATTATTAAAAATGTGAAAAATTTTGGAGTAGGAACTATGCCATATAGCAATTAGACACTTAACTTTTTAGTGCAAAAGAAGGAACAAATTATCCACCTGATGCTACAATAGAAGCAAGAAAATTTGTCATCAAGGACTTTGTAGTGGGTAGCAGTATTGCCATATTTGGAAGTGTAACAGCTGATGGAACAAAGGTGAAGGTCATTCACAGAGAGCATGATTCTGCAATCCATGCACTCGCTTCACATCCTTCACTGTAAGTACAACCTGTATAGAAATATGACGGAGCTAGAATAGATCAATTTTTGTTAATTTGTGAAACATTTTTCCCATATCTAAATCATTAATATGAAAACAGTTTTTTTTAACCTTTAACATGCATATTTTTTGTTTACCAGCAAAATTATTGGGTAAAAAAATCTTATAAATTAATGGCAACAGAAAGAGTAAATGTTAAAAATAATTTACTTTACAATGCATAGTTGTAATTTAAAACAAAAAAGAATTCATTTATGCCTATTGAAAGAGGTGTGTAAAATAATTCATGTCAAACTACATCAATAAAGTGAATCATTGAAAACATAAGTGGCTAATACATGTACATGTATACGATTTTTCCTTTTTTCTTCAAATCAGGCCCTATGTTGTGATAGGAAGCTACTCTGGACTTCTGAAAATTTGGGATTATGAAAAGAAGTAAGTTTTCTGCCATTATTTGAATTCAGTTTGATATTTGTTTATCTGTACATGCAAAATATGGGTAAATATACACATTCTTCACTCTACAAGAATTTAAAGATGCATTAATTGAATGTGTTTTTTAGACAAGTGATGGTCTCCAGACAATTCGATAAAAATAGCTTGATCAGATGCTGTGCATTTGATCCCAAAGGAGCCTATATAGGTAAGTCCACAATTAAAAAAATAAAAATAATAGAATGTTTTCAAATTAAGAAATTTACTGTATGTGATTTTATTATTAAAAAGGGTAAATTTAAAATTGATTTTCCATCTTTCAGCTGTTGGTTTTGTTAATGGATCTGTGAGAGTTTTAGACTCTATAACACTAGAAGACCAGACAGCAGAGCCCTTTAGATATGCTAGATACAGCATCACTCATATAGCATTCTCCCACAATTCACAGTACCTAGCCACAGCTGTAAGTATCGGTAGTGTCATCTGTATAAAGTACATCATTTTGTTGTCTTCTGACCACTGTGTAAATACTAATACCTTTGTAAAATAAATGAAAACCGTCAGATTTAATAAATTTTTTACTTTCTGTCAAGTAATACAATTTATGGTCGGAGCCAAATGTAACTCTTTCTCTTATTTGTCTATTTACATGTGAATATAATGCTGTTAATTTGTTGTATAGGATGGAGAATACACAATTAGTGTATTTAAGAGACAGCACCTCCATGACGATCCCTATGGTTACCTGGGTAGATACAGGGCCCATTACAAAGACATACAGGATATTATCTTTGGGGTCCATCTAGATTCTAACCAGCCCCGCCTCCTGTCTTTGGGCAAGGATCGAGTGCTGGTAAGATTTCAACAGCTAATTGATTGATGAATTGAAAAGAACTACTGAAAATATTCAAGCATAACTATTCATTAGGAGTATTCATGTCATTTTAATATTTAGTGTGGTGTGCCCATGAGTGTAAAACCACTATCATTACTATAGTCATAGATATATCTCTGCTTGTTCCCTCTTTCCCCTCCCAAGTATATAGGTAAAGTATGTAATGAATTAATTTTAGACATTTTATGTAAATTTTGTGTAAGATGATGATTTATATGTATACTTTGTTCTAATTTCAGGTTGAATATGATTTGGAAAACAGCTCAAAAGACAGCTTGAAGATAACCAGCTCTGACAGGATAGAGCAAAGTGCTGTTCCCCAGTGTCTGACCTGGTACCCTCCAATTACAAAGGAACACTTCATTGTGACTGCCAATGACCAGTACAAGTTCAAATTATACAATGCCACAACTAAAATGTGCAGGAAGACATTACTAGGACCAACTTATGGATCTCCTATCAAAAAGTAAGATTTTAAGGGAAACAACTCTTGCTGAACCACTAATTAAAATAAAGTAGTTGCCCATCAGTAATTTAGAATTTATTGATTATTTGTGATAATGTTCTAAAGAAATTGCTATGTTAAACTGAAATTTTTCTCTCTTACAGAATTGCTGTTGTGCCAACTAAGGATCCAATCAAAGACAAACGGTACCTAGCTTATATTACCGATGACAAAATAGGACTCCATATACTTCCTCTGTGTGGCAACCCACATGATGCAATGGCTCTCATTGGTCACCCAGCTGGGGTATGCAGGTTTAAATTCTCATTTGATTTACATACTGAACATCAGTAGTAACATTTTGTCTCCAATTTTTTTTTTTAAATTTAATTTCTATTTTTGTCTGTTATAAAGCAACTTTTATTCTGCCAATTTTAGGTTTCAAACCTTGTCTGCAGCTATGATGGGAAATACTTGTTTTCTGCTGGTGGTACTGATGCATCTGTCCACATGTGGGAAATCAATATCAAGTAAGATTCTGTTTCTTTAAAAAGCTGTATGTGTAGATACTGTAGTAAAACGTTTAATATACATTTTAGAAAAAAATATTGGTGGTCTGATAAAGAAAATTGGTAGATGAAAATAGATTTAAAATTGACAAAATATTTATCAATTATCAGTGGTAAATTGTTCACTGTTCCACCTCAGTTTTGTAAATGATAATCACTGTTAGTTTTGGTTTGTTCAATAGTGCCCTAGAAGCCCAGTCTAAGTTAGGTGGAGAGGATCTGATCCCATTCTATGGACTGTTAGATGGAGGTCGGGAGGGGGAGCTGTTTGCAGAATTGGAGGATTACTTCTATTATGCACAAATCAGAAAGTGAGTGTTTCATTACAACATACATACTGCTCCTTATTCACAGTTTTATCTGCGATTTTTTTTTAATAGAATATTTACAAACCAACATTTATGGAAATACAGAGACTTCTTGTTTTGTGTCATATTCCAATAAAATGGTATGATTTATTCTTCTGGCCACATTTAATGTTGTATTTTTGATACTTACAGCCAGGGAGTGAATGCTATGGAGAGGAGAGAGTTGTCAGTTAAGATCCCCCTCACAGAAGTTCCCTTTGTCATGAGGGCCATGGGTTTCTACCCCTCAGAACAAGAGGTCAGTAGACCAATCTTGAAAAAAATCTAATTATTATGAAGTTTTTCTTGTGTAAAAACTGTTTACAACATATACATGTACAGTAAAGCATTACTTATACTTATAGCGAACAGATATATAACAAAGTGATTTCAGCGAAGTGATTTTCAATCCTAATGTCTTTAAATATATTGTGAGCCTAACAGATTCAATAAATTACACTTGTAATGAAGCAAAATTATCCATCCCTGGCACTTTGTTATAAGCTTGCTTTACTGTACATCTACATTTACATTATAATTGTAATTTTTCATGAATCCACTTCAGAATTAGTAAAATGTTAACATTGATGACATTTTTATTTCCAGATTGAAGACATGTTAAATGAGGTGAAGTTTAGTCGCTATGTGGAGACAGGGCAATATGTAGAAGATATTGACCTGGGAGACTTCATCAAATGTAGGCATATCTGTTTTCTTCAATATATATACTTTTTTGCAATTCTACATACTGTAAAAAATGCTTTAGAAATCCATCACCTACAGTGAACAAAATTTTTATATTCTTCTTTTGCTTTTTTTCCTTAGTGTACATAAACCATAGACCAGCATTTGGATTAGATCCCCAGAAACTTGTACATGCTTTCCAAACACTTGGTGTACCCTCTACTCAAGGCAATGCCATTGAGAGGGGATACCTACTGGATCTCCTGCAAACCAAAGGTATAGAAATTTGTTGACAGTTTTTTGCTCAATAAGATTCATAAAGCTACAAATGTGGTGAAATGAAAATATAATAAAGCACAATGTTATACTATCATGAAAAAAAGAAATGTGCAGATACAGTATCTTTGCTAACCATCTTTCCGATTTGCTTATACTCTCATGACTGAAGAGCATATTTATCTTAATTTGTAAGTAATTTAGTCTAAATGTTTGAAGACAGTTGTTTCAGAATCAAGGAGTGGGACTAGTCTTGCCTGTGGCAAAATGCACTAAAATGACATTTCAAATTTTTGCATATGTACCTGTATTTCCAATTTTTTTTATTTCCATCATCCATACACAAATCAACATTAAAGTAACATTTCTTCTTTAGGTGAACACATGACAGAGTATGAATTAGCCGAGTATCTAACGACCCTGCTAGGATTCAACGCAGAGGGCGGCAGTAGTGAACTACAGGAATTTGACTCTTCAACAGCTGGTGACATTATAGATCAAAACCTGCCAGTTAATGTCACAGAGGAAATGTTTGCCAATGAAATTCTAGGATTTTCTATGTACAAGGATGCTCTAGCAACAGCTCAGCAGACCTCTTGAGAACTGGTTGAATGGAGATAGTGCTTTATACATGTATCAAAATTCCTTGATATTGTGGATTTGACCAATTCCTGTGACAATAAATTTCTGTGTTGGATAAGTTAGCACAGTAAATTCATTCAAAACACACACACAAAAAAAATGGCTGTGATAAAATCCACATATATCTGGTATTTTAATGACTTTTGTTGTTTTGTCTACTTATTAATGAATAATGAAACAGGTTATTGTTACAATGAAAAGTTTTAATATATTATTTAAAACCAAGAAATTGGTTTGATGCTTTTATTAGTTCCTCTCAGGGTAAGTGCAAACAAATCAACTGATATGTAGTGCTCCATCATAAGGTCATGTTTTATATACTTTAAGAAGACTATGAAATTTTTTGACAGTATGAGTGGTATCACTTTACATGTACAAATCATGGAGGAACTACTGTAAAACACTGTTTATTCCCAAGAACTTTATTTTTGCTTTATTATGCAGTGTGGTCTGCTCATGAAAATTTCACTCTCACGTATATTTTCATTAGCATAGGATACATACAGCAATAACCAGCTTTCGTGAAAATGTTGTCTCTTATAAATAACAAATATCTATCTCACAAAAATAAGGTGTCGGGAAAATTTGGTGATCTACAGTATTTCCCCAATATGTCTTCTTATATGTACTCCCACTACAAGAATACTAAACAAAAGTTGCAGAAAGTAGATGTTAAAAGTTTTACAAATTGGAGTCCAGATGTTTTTTCCTTCATCAACTTGGACTGTTTAATGCAGAATGTTAGAATTCTGGTCTCTTAATATTTTGTTCAAATTTACGGACTGAAATCCTTGCTGTAAATGTTTTTTTTTTTTTTTTTTTTTTTTTTTGCTATTGTTGTCATATAGGCATATTTTTCAGGAAGTGCTAGCACACTTCATGAAATGTGTCAAGTCTGTACGATTTATGCACCAATAACCCCCATTAATCTCACAAAATTCCTTACTGTAAAGAAATTTTTGTGGGATTGATCTTGTTGAGCCTTGTGAATGAATTTCACTAAAATGACCCCCACTTAAAAATTTCTTCGTAAACTATTTCTTGTTTAGGGTCACAATACTAATATTAAAGTACAGTTAAATTTACATTTTGAGGAGAAAAAAAAACTAACAAGTCAATCAACGATAACAATTTATTTAAAAAATTCATTCTAATGTCCAGCACAGATTCAATTTGTCACTTGATAGTCCCATAATTCCCTCTGGAGGGTTAAAGTTCATAGGAGCATGCTTTACTTTCTTCTTGGTTTCTTTTACAAAAAGCTGAAACAAAAGAAATAAAATTTTAGGCCTTAAAGTTTTGCAATATCCAATGAAAATCTTGAAACTGTGGTCAGTATTAATCTTTCAAAAGTGACTTTCTCCTTATAAACTGGTATGGGGCAACTGGTCTATAAATTGAAATTACTCAGTATGAGCTATGTCAAAAGTAGGTCTGGGGATGCCTTGTACAGAGAATAAATACATCTTACTACCAAGTCAAGTAACATACATGTATTTCATCAGAGATTTTCAGAATTTTTGCATGTTGGTGGTAAATTTAATTCATAGAAAATGTAACTATCCTTACATCATTGTACGAAGTTTCCAGAAGGTCTGCCAATGGAATTTCCTCCTTTGTTATGGGCTGGTCCATTCTCTGGGCCTTCTTAGCCACATCAGGGTGATAATGGCTCTGCAGTGTCTGTAAAGTAAAAGTGGATGTATGTTATTGATGAGAAGGACACTTTCTGTAAGATGTATACAAGCATCTGGCCCTTTTTTTAAGCCCCCATAATCTTGGATTCAGGGGCATATAGTTTTTGGTCTGTCTGTTATTTGTTTGTCCACAAAAATTTAAACCTTGCCCATAACTTTTGAATGTTTGGTGCTAGGGCTTTCATGTTTCATATATGTATTCCTTGTGACAAGACCTTTTTGGGTACCACCATTTTTGAACTCTTGACCTTGGAGTTTGACCTACATTGTAAAAACTTAAACCTTGGCTTTGAGCTGCCATACAGTAGCATCAGTGTATTGTGTAATGAAACACAGAGGGCACAACTCTATCAAAATTATTTTTTCTTATTTTACCTTAAGTTCCCACAATGAACTTTCTATGGCCTTGCTTTTGACTGGATCTGGTTCTTCTTGGCAGTAAGGATCCTCCTGTAATTCTGTAATGTAGTTTAATTGTAAAAGTAGAGCTGGTATACATATATGTGTTGCTAAATGAGAAATTACTTGCCAGTGGGACATTTCCTGTGTACATGTATATCAAGATCAGTATCTTCCAATGGGAGACTTCCTGTAACTGTATAAGAACTGGCACCTTACTTAACAGTGGGACTTTCCCTTTGTACATTGTATGATAAGATATGGGACATCTTGGTATGCTAAGATCTGGCACATGAGCAACCAATAGATATTATGCAAAGAACTTGGATATGACTTACATTCCATGTTCAGGTCAGACATAACTTACCACAGGGAAATTCCCCATTTATGAAAAGATTTGATACTTACTTTACTGACATTCCCTGCATAAGTGTTAAGATCTTGCACCTTACTTACCAGTTGGTGTTTCCCTATGTATGATACATCTAAGAACCACCATATCTTGGTATGCTTGCATGTGTGCATGAGCTACTAGTGGGATATTTCAAATCATGTAAAGACTGGAATTCCATGTGTGTTCAGATTAGATACAACTTACCAGAGGGAAATTCCCCATACTGTATAAAAAGATTTGACAAATACCTTCCTAGGATTCCCTGTGAATGTTAATAATTTTAAGATATAATGAACTACTTCCCAGTGGTGTTCAGACCTGACGTATGATTACTTGTGGGAGATCTCTAGTGTAGCTTAAGATCTGACACCTCTTACCAGTGGAAAATTTCCTGTGTAATCAATCTGATACATGACTTACCAGTGGGAGATTCTCTATGAATATAAAATCTGATACATGACTTTCAAGTGGGGGATGCCCTATGGATTTAAGAATCAGATACATGACTTACCTATGGCAAGTTCTCCTATGAATGTAAAGAATTTAATAATGACTTACCAGAGGTAGGTTCCATATAAATGTTAAGAATCTGACACATGACATACCAGTGATAGTTTCCTTATGAATTTTAAGGATATCCGATCCTCAGCAAGGAAGGATAACTCTTAAATTTATTATTTTATTTAAAAAGTCTCAAAATGAAGCTTGAAATTGATATTTTTTGTGCAGCAATTTTCATTTTATGCATCTTAATATGATTCAAGGTTCTTTTAAGTCTTAGAAACTGTCTTGTAAAAAAGTTGACATTTGTACCCCATAAAACAAAAAAAAATGAATTCATTTTCAGAGAAATCGAATTTCCAGTAGTCTAGCATTAGATACCACAGCTTATTAGTATGATATGAAATTAGATGTGATATGTGATGCCTAGCAATGATAGCACAAACTTTTTACACTATGTATTATATGGAAATTGAAGTAAAAAAAAAAGAACTAAAATACTGTAAAAGCATAAAAAAGATGCAATTTTCTCCAAATGCCTGGATACCTATATCTTTCTATCCTGAATTATATTTGTTGATCTATTTTCAATTAGAAAATGCATAGCTGGTGTTTATATTCGCATTTCCTGAAAATATAGTTTAGATTTGTTAATTTTCCCTGTATAATATGATTAACTATAATGATGAACTTTGAAGAAATTCCATGGGTAAATTCACGTTACTATGTGAAATCAGAGACATTTTTGTGAGCATTTTAAATTACTTAAAAGCTGATTTTCAGAACCTGAGGATCGGAGTACCTTAAGATCTGACATGTGATTTACCAGTGGTAGGTTTCCTATGATTATTATGATTTGACACAACTTACCAGTGGTAAGTTCCATATGAATTAAATAATTTGATACATAACTTACCAGTGGGAGATTCCCTATGGATGAGAATTTTACAGTTAGGGTGTCTGCTGATAAGATTATAAATAAATGGAATGGTGACCATCAGAGCACTTGCTGGGGCTGTCAAAGAGATTCTGGCCAGTCTCTTTGCAAATGCAGCTACCATTGCAGCTGGTAAGTGTCTGAAACATACATTCAAAAACCTGACATTTTCATCATTAATGAATTCAAGTCTTGTCATGAATTTTCAGTTTTTTTTTTAACTTGGATTTCATTTTACAAGCAGATCATGTATTGGATTGATATGGATTGCAACAATGAAATTCTGCTCTAATGTGAACAATTTTAATTTTCTGAAACTTACGTTGATGATAGAAATAGATCAGCAAGATAGAAAAATCGGGCTCTGTATTTCACATGAAGAACACCGGGTTCAAACAAAGCATATAACTTCTGATAGAAATCTGGGTAATCTCTGTAAATAAAATACCATGCAAATTTAAAATGGAGATGGATTTGTTATACATGTATCTTAAACATATCTCAAATATTGCCATAAAAGATAAATTTATACCTGAAAACAGGAATACTTACAAATTGTGTTTATGGACTAAGATAAACAAGCTATTCAAAGCTAACAAGCTTATAGCACCCCCTGTGAAAAGAAATGGATATCATTGATCAGCATTGTTTTTACAATATATGAATAGTATTCATTGATGACTAAGGGCATGCATAAAGTCATTGAAAATTAGAGTTTTACAACTAAAGGACAGATTTCACAGGAAATAGTGACAATTGGATCTTGGTTGTCAAACAGCTAAATTAGCATTTTCAAGAATTTGACAAGAAAAAAAGCTTTAATGCCACAAATGATGTTTTTTTTTTAATCAAAGCAACTAAATAAAATTTTTGGTGTAACTGAGCTTAAAAATTCCATACTTTCCGATGCAAAACCATCATCTAAATTTAACCAGATTCTGAGAAGTGCAAACTATATAAAGATGCATTTACCTCCACTCTCCCACTTCATACTTAAGTGATTTGTCAGGTGTGACATCACTTACCTACACTCTCCCACTTCATACTTAAGTGATTTGTCAGGTGTGACATCACTTACCTACATCATAGGAAGCTGTTAGGAAATCACTTAGGTATAGGGGATTTGTAAGATGTGGCATCACTTTATCATGTAGAATAATTAATACTTTCTTGTACACAGAGTTTGGAAGCTAAAAGCATGTAGGAAAAAAGTATCACTATTTTAAATAAACTCAGATCACATTGTTACAATACTTCATGCACATCCAAAATAAAAAAATTATGGGATATGTTCACTGGTACAAGTACTCAGTGTCCAATACATTTACCAATGATAAATTATTCTGCATCACATGCATTTCTGATTACACATATATAAAAATAACAAAAATCCATAAGTAGAAATAATTGCAGCAAAAAATTTGTAACAAACCTTTAATTGTAAGAAATCAATCCACAAATTTGTAAAAATCCTCCTCTGTTCATCTAAGCTCTTGATTTTCTCTAGCTTTTCCCTTTCTGTTAAAAGTATATGTAAATCAATTAGTTCACTATCTTATAGCTAACAAATCAATTTAACACTGCAGATAGAGCTTTTGAAATCATGGTATATACTAAATATATGATAACTTTTTTTACAAAAACATTTGATCCCTGTACTTTACAAGAACAGTTATAAACAAGAGGTCCATGGGCCATAATGCTCACCTGAGTAACTATGACCCTGCTGTTCTTCATCATCAGATTTTTCACCACATATATTCCTATGTGAAACTGTGATCTCCAATTTTGGCCCACACTATCCCTGGGGGTCATGATTTGATCAATTTTTGAATCTTCATTACCAGAGGACGTTTCTACAAGACTAACTATGTCTTTTCTGTTCTTGAGAAGATTTTTTCTATATATTCCTATGTAAAACTTTTCTTGCCTGTTGTGGCCCCACTCTACCCTGGGGTCATGATATAAAAACAACTGGAGTCTTCATTATGTGATGAAGCTTCTACATAAGTTTCATTTTTTGAACTGTTTTCACTGTGGTTCTTGAGCAGAGGATATTTGAAAGATGCCATTAAATTTTCACTAATTCTTAATTATCTCTCCTTGAAAGAGGGAATGGCCTTTTATTTGAATACACTTGAAATACCTTTACCCAAGAATGCTCTATGCCAAGTTTGGTCAAAACTGACCCAGTGTTTATGGAGAAGAAGATGAAATTGTGAAAAGTTTATGGTGACACTGACAGACAACAGACAAATTTTGATCAGAAAAACTCAGGTTAGCTAAAAATGTACAAGTTTGATAGTATCACCTTGTATGTACAAATTTAACTACAATTATTTTTTTCTTTCTTAAAAGCAAAAAAAGATAATTATATCTTCAAAATTAAGGACTTCTTTTTCAAATTAACTGTAAATATACCTGGGTACTTTGTCATAAAATTGCTCAGTTCCTCACAGCCATCAGCAGTGAAGCTGATCTGTTCCAGCACAGCAACAATATTATTAAGACAGACATCAGTCAAATGATCCTGGGCTTTGGTTGCAATTTGTTTGTGAATAATCCTCATAAGATGATACCTTACATCGTCATATGCCAGGTACTCCTGGAATCGACTAATCAACACGGTAACATCAACAGTGTCTGATGTCAATGAATGCACAACTCTCTAAAAGTGTAAAATTTTAAATATCAATATTTATTGGAAATTAGGCATCAAGGAATGGAACACATTCTATACTATACTTAAAACTTTATTCCATTCTATAGCAGCTTTACTGACAATATTTGTTAAAATTTACACAGTGTCAAGATAAAACTTACTCTAAACAGGGCTAGAGGAAAATGAGTTCTACTTGGTGAATGTTTGGTGACTGGAAACTGTCCTTCCTCCAATACAAACTTCATCAGAGTGCACAAGGACAGCTCCTAAATAAAATATATACATAAAATTTACTTGTAATCAGTGAATTGAAAATACAAATACAAACCAAAGCAGGCTTACCTTTTAACACACCACACACACACACACAAAAACAACATATAACTAATTAGGTATTTCATATATTTTAATGGACAGGTAAACGTTTTTTTTTTTTTATTTATGTAGATTTTTAAAAATTTTCCCTGCCATTGACCATGAACTTTGGAAACAAGGTAGTCAAGGTCGTGACCCAGCTTTAACATACTTAGATTTTAATTCATTCCTATCAGAGGCTCTAAATTATGGCATGTATTCATTATCTGATGGCTTTGACCTTTGAGATTTTACCTTAATTGAATCAAACCAATACCTTATCAGTAACAATTCACTGAAGCTTGCAGATATTAATTTGCTGCAATCATGGTTTCCAAAGTTATGGCACAATTTCAATATCTAACTACCCATGCAGTGACCTTAAAATAATTCAAGATCTTGACACATGTTTAGTTTACAAGAAACCACATTCAAGTTTGATTCCATTTCAAGGGTTCTAGAATTAAAGCTTGGTTATAATTTTGTGTCAGACAGACATGTTCCATTGGGGGAAACAATATTAGAACAAAAATATCCCCAAGTACTCTAACATATAAAGATTACAAAAATCATTACATTGGGAAAGAAAAAATATATTACTGACAAGAACAACTGGAGTGAATACTGAATTAAGTTGTGGAAATCAATGTGTGAATAACTTACCCTGATATTTGAATTTTCATGATGAACCAGTTGAATAAGCCTATTACAAACATCTTTATATCGATCTTTTAGCCAACCTTTGTATTTTTCCTCTTTAGTAAGATCTTCAAACAAAACAACACTTATTTCATTCTAGCTATCAAATGCCCTGCATATTTGATCTAATACTGGTATGATTGTCTTTCAATTTGAAACTACAATCAACTTGTCATTAATTAATGCACTTATATAATGATACCTGTTCCCTATGTAACATGAAACAGGCGTGTATGTATTTTGTAATAGAATATGACATTTCAATCCTCAATTTAACAATATTTTCTTATATATTATAAACAAGGCATATTTCCTCATTTACATCTCTGTTCTTACCTGTCTCTTTAAGATTACTTGGAATATCAAGGAACAATTCTCCAGAAGACAAATACCTTGTAAATAGCTTGTGGAAAGATCGGACACACGCTAACAGAACAGCTTTATTGTTAGTCTGTAAAAGAAAATATCTTACTTTGAAAACTAAACTATTAAGTGACTTTTCAAATAAAATTAAATGTAAAATTAAAGATGGATGTGAGCCTTACTAATGTAAAATTAACCTGAGATATCTCTTGGGACTGTAGACAAAATCTTCAATGTTTTATAATTAGATTGATATACATATTTCTAGGGATGTCAACGAATATTCGAACATTCGAATATTCATTCGATGAGTTGATATTCAAATATGAATTTAAGATTTGAATATTCGGTGTTTTTCAGATTTCATAAAAAGAAGTACTTTGATTAATAAATTTTGATTAGAACAGTGCTGGAAATATCCCTGTTTAATTTACTAGCCATCAATTTCGATCGCCCGATTTCTTTCACTATTTTCTTATGTAGATTTACTAAATTATTTTGTTTTGAGTAAGGTGTTAAAGAATTATACAATAATGCTTTAGGTATAATACAAAACGTACTTTCATAGTTTTTTATTAGTTACATGTAAATACGATCGGGTCTAGAATCGAGGACAACAAAATGAAAACCTTCTAAAAGACGTAAACAGTATACTTATCAAAACAAATTTAATTGATCATTCAAATAAATGTGCATTAGAATTAGTCTGTAATTAATATTGTAAAGGACTCAATTTCAGAATAAATGTGTAAATTACTTGATTATCTCAGGTTGCACATAATCCTGCATTTTATAGTCATTATCGGGAAATTAGTTAATTACCTAGGAAAATTGTCTATGAAATTGTTTGTTTATATTTTAAAAACATTGTATCAAAGATTATAATCATATCTCTGATTAGTCTGATAATTGTAATTAATCACACGTATTGGAATTTTGAACAGTATACGACTATCTTGACTTTGGTAAGACAACAGGTTCCTCAGTTGGAGCTACTATAAATACACATGTATCATTTGTTAAATCAATTACAGGTGTATTTGTTTCAAACATTGACAAGTATCAAATGGAATCCCTTATTGTACACCTACAAAAGTCTTCATACAATTTTATTTCAAATATAAGAATACCTATACTAAACCTTTCATGAGAGTAGGATGATGCATATTTAAAATAAATGTTTTCATGCTCATCACTATAACTTTGAGTGCATGCTTGCTATAGCCTTTTGAAGAGTGATCTTTGCTGATATAGCCTGGAAGCAATAATATTTATTTTTCATTTAGTTGTCAAATAGAGTAAATGTTGAGATTATTTAATTCATATCTAAAACTAGTTTCAGTTCGTTAAAAAAAATGGATTTCACACAATGACGGAAAGCAAAAGTAGAGATGCAAAGAATATTAGGTGAATGCTTATTCCTTTTTTACTTGTATTAATGATGTCAAAAGTTTTCCAGAATACCATATCTCCCTTTTCTTGGCTGGAATGTCGACGAAATTCAAGATTTCCAAATGTCAATATGGTGTGTAAATTTGAAGCAAGTATAAAACATTGCAAAAAGTGTTGTATTCCTCCATTATATGGATTAATTTTTAAGGTGAAAGGTATCCACAATCACAAAAAGGTTTGTTATGATTAATTTGATGGTTATATTAAATGCAACTTCATTCATTTTCTCCAAAATTCTGCAATTTCAGACTTGTCGAAATTTTTAAATCATTGTCAGACATTTGGTCTGACAAAGTCAAATGTTCTGTCGGACCAGTCAAAGTTTTGTCATACCAGATACATGTACCTCATTTTGACGCTGTGAAAGTCATATGAATAACAGCACCAAAATGCCCTGGGTTATTTTCAACAGCCTAAAATATTACAAGTCTTTAATAAAAGACATAAATGACATGTTTTATGACTTTGCTATAACAAATTTAATTGGATATCGTCAACACGCCTTGTACGCTGCCATTTTTTTCTGTGTTTGTGACCTTCAACTGCGCATCCCGATCCCGACCTTTATTAAATTTGCATCACGCTGGATTTTTTCAAACAGTCATCTGGACCGACGTTTTCTTAATAGTTGTCGGTCCAGACAAATTTTTACCGGCCTTGCCGACAGGACCAACGGATTTCGACAAGTCTGCAATTTTCTGCTGTATTGCAGGTATATGGGAGGAATTCCAATTGAGGTGAAGGCCTGTCCCAAGACAGATTATTTCAACTTGATCAGTGTTTAAGACGACCGTGTGCCCAACCGCTCGAGACGCACAAATTTTGCCATGGGCAAACTGATATGCACATATGGACATCCTGCTGGATGTGTTAAAATTTCCAATAAATTAAAATTCATATATTTGATAAATCTCTCTCAAATCAACCAATACTAGTATTGGTAGTAAAGTGTGGGTTAGAATTTGTCATCCTATAGATTATGGTGATCTGGCCCCATTCTAGATAGAATGTTCTATCGTTAAAATGATGTCCTACGGACCCGGTTTAACGATAGAATTCGTTCCGTGTATTCGCAATGTAGCAAAATAAACACGGGCGATAACTCGAACTCTGTGCATTTTCTATGAACAATCCAGAGAGTTCCGAATGTCAACATGGCGTTAAATTTGAAGCAAGGAAAAAACGTTGAAAAAATGAGTTGAATTTTCTTATTTATATGGATTATTTTTTAGGTTAAAAGGCATATACAATCTCAAAAAGGTTTGTTATGATTAATTTGGTAGTTATTTTCAGTGCAACTCCTTTTGTATTCTTCAAAATCATTTCGGAGTGGATCCACTCCGATTTGCTACATTGCAAGTATATGGGACGTATTCTAACTGTGGTGAGGGCTTGTCCCGAGACACAGTAAGATTATTCTAACTAGCCCCATTCATGTTATCGCTAAAAGACAATTGTTTTCTCAGGCTAGTAGATTTTTGGCAGGACTGACAACTGTCACAAGCAGTCAACCCTGCATGTCTAGCTAATTTTACGGTGAGTTTCAAACACTGAACTTGATCTAGTAATCTTTCTGGACTTGTAAATAAATTGAATTTGTAAATAACATTTGTTACACTTCCTTGTTATATTTACTTAATTATTGTCGTTCGGACAAAGTTTAGTAAGCAGTGCCTTCCATGTATTTTAATCTGTTCCTATTTCAGTATGAATCACACAGCATGAAAGAAAATATGATGATTGTGGTGAGTAAATAAACCATATGACCATTGACCTCAGAATGTGCAATGATGTCTAGAAGACAATTTGCATGCTTTCGGCTCTCAAAACATTGTTGGGTCTTGCTTTTTATCTCTGAAATAGCACATGTGTCTTCATTGTCCACCATGATGAAACATATAGCCAATGAAAGTGGTTTATTTTGTTTTTCGGATGTTATCAGATAAGGACCATTTCTGACCTCCCTAAAATTCGAGAATTCCGAAAGGAATATCGCCTGCTCATGCGCTAACTGCTTTTTCCGGCACCGGCGCAGACTGGATGCGTTATGTAGATTATAGAAAGGGACATCCGCAAACAATTTTCATCAAAAGCAAACATCTAAAGACAAAAATATGCTACTTAACCCATCAAAATGTGTCGTTGAGTAACTGATTAGGTTGGATTGAGGGTTTTTGACCGAAGATGAATTGGTTTACAAGGTGTAATTTGTAACTCATTTTCTTGGTAAGTCAAAGTATTTACGCATTCAAAATGGCGCACTTTGATTCATGGGAAGGCTCTGAGTAGCAAGTGGCGCAAAGAAAAAAAAAATCCCAATGTGTGCTAATGACGATGATGTCTTGTATATGAAATAAAACAAGAAAATAAGCCATTGTGCAACTCCTCACTAATTTTTTGTTTGTGATGATAGACGCACTTCAGATATTAACTTGTGCAGTAAATTCATGCCGATCATGGTCACCACCACGTCCACCCCGACCTTATACCATTAGCACCACCTACTATAATGCATATAACAGACTAACACTACATCTCAAAGCTTTTTATGATCATGATTTATATAAAGAAATATATCGATAGCTTCTCATTAGTTGACATTTCATCATGCTGGCGAATTTTATGATTGTAAATGGCCAGACGACTATCACATTTGCAAAAGTTATTTCCCATTTGTGGGGTGAATCGGCATATCCCAGTTTCCCCTCTATAATATTACTTATTTTATGGGGTAGTATCTCGCAAATCAAATCTGTGTGATCGACTATATTCATTGTTTTCTTTGATGCCCCATACTATTGCAAAGAATCTGGGTGTTTTCGCATTCGCGCCATTTCACTGTTCACCTGAGTGGATTCACCCCACATGATTATCTTCAAACATACACAAGGGTGTGCAATTAGCATTGCCTGACGCCCGGGGCTACCGTATTTTGGGGTAGGGCTAGTAGTTTTCTGCACGGAGATGGCCCCTTGGGCTAGTAAAAATCAAAACTTCCAATGTAATACATGGAAATCTCTGTTGGTATTTTCACTCATTTTTAGCTATTAATTTCCCAACCAATGATAAATTTCCAGACAGCATGCTCCTATTGTTCGTAAATCTCCATAATCATCCATTTTGCAGTACTACCAGACTTATTTATGCCAAAAAAATCGTTTTTTTCTATTACGAATTTCCTCCATTCCTCTGTTTATGGTAAATACATGCAGATATCTCATTAAATTACTTACGACCACTCATTCAACGGAAAGATAAATGTTATGTGGTTTACATAAAATATATAATTTGTGAGAATTAAACTTTAATTTTAAAAAGAATGACTTTTTCAACAATAAACTATTTTTTCAATATTAGTTGTTTTTCCCCATCCCCTACATTTGGGCTAGTAACTTTTTACTTGGGGCTAGTAACTTTATTGCTGCTACTAGCCCGTTGGTTAGTGCTTAATCTTTTTAATTGCACATCCCTGTTACAGTGTACTTGATGTTTATTTAAGCAAAAGTAGTTTGATCACAGGGGTGTGCAATTAAAAAAATCAAGTACTAGCCCACGGGCTAGTGGCAGCAATAAAGTTACTAGCCCCAAGTAAAAAGTTACTAGCCCAAATGTAATGGGGGGGGGGGGGGGGGAGTAACAACTAATATTGAAAAAATAGATTATTGTAGAAAAATTCAGGGTTTTAAGGTAATCTTTTAAAATTAAAGTTTATTTCTCACTAGTAAAATCAAATCACTTATATATTAATCATTACAATAGAAAATAAAAATGAATTTAAATAAATTATTTTTCCTTTTTCTGTGCATTGCATTAGCGCATCTAAAACGAAGTGAAATCATTTTTTTTTTTATCTTAAATTATTAAGAACATTTGAAATATATTTTACGTAAATCACATAACACTCATCTTTCAGTTGATTGAGTGATCGTAAATAATTTAATGAGATATCTGCCATTATTTACCATAAACACATGAATGGAGGAAATTCGGATTAGAAAAAAAAGATCGTTTTTGGAAGTAAATAAGTCAGGAAGTGCTGCAAAATGGATAAGATTATGGAGATTTACGAACAGTTGGAGCATTCTGCCTGGAGACTTTTCATTGGTTGGGAATTTAATAGCAAAAAATGAGTGAAAATAACGGTAGTGATTTTCATACATTACATTAGTATTTTTTAATTTTTACTAGCCCAAGGGGCTACCTGCATGCAGAAAACCACTAGCCCGACTCCAAAAAATGGTAGCCCCGGGCGTCGGGCGATGCTAATTGCACACCCCTGGATCAGACATTGAGTGTTTAGATTAACAAAATTAATGAGCACTTTAATTCAATTAGTCTTTTCATGATAACTGCGGTACTATTCTTTTGCAGGGCAAATTAATAACGTTTGGCAGAGTTTGTATGGACTGATAATTAAAAGACATAAACAATTGCTTTTACGTCATATTTCACCAAAACATATCATTTTGCCCTGCAAAAGAGCAATACCTATCATGAAACAGTCTATTCAATTAATATGTTGACGGTGCGACCTTTGGGGCGAGCGCATTGTTCACTTAATTTTAAGATCCCCCTCTTCAAACCGCACGAGACATCTGGAACATCTAGACTGTGACGTCACATGACGTATGTTAGCTGCATTTCTGTAAATGAAGTTTGAAAAGTGAAAAATTTTAACAACGAATGTTAAATCTGCTATCTGTATGCAATATCCATTAAATTAAGGTGAGTTTATTTTTGTGAATTTTTAGCTCTACTGGTCAGAGACCAGAAGAGCTTATGCGATAGTAAGGTGTCCGTCGTCTGTCTGTCTGTCTGTCTGTCTGTCCGTCTGTCTGTAAACAATTTTTCAAAACGCTACTCCTCCTACAGTTTTGGTCCGATTTCAATATAACTTGGCACACAAGTAGACTACACTAAGATACATAATTTAGTGCATTGGTTTTTGATTTCGATGGACGGTGTTGTCATGGTTACTAAAAATAGAAATTTCTGTGAAATTCCTTTAAAACGCTACTCCTCCTACAGTTTTGGTCCGATTTCAGTATAACTTGGCACACAAGTAGACTACACTAAGATACATAATTTAGTGCATCGGTTTTTGATTTCGATGGACGGTGTTGCCATGGTTACTAAAAATAGAAATTTCTGTGAAATTCCTTTAAAACGCTACTCCTCCTACAGTTTTGGTCCGATTTCAATATAACTTGGCACACAAGTAGACTACACTAAGATACATAATTTAGTGCATTGGTTTTTGATTTCGATGGACGGTGTTGTCATGGTTACTAAAAATAGAAATTTCTGTGAAATTCCTTTAAAACGCTACTCCTCCTACAGTTTTGGTCCGATTTCAGTATAACTTGGCACACAAGTAGACTACACTAAGATACATAATTTAGTGCATCGGTTTTTGATTTCGATGGACGGTGTTGCCATGGTTACTAAAAATAGAAATTTCTGTGAAATTCCTTTAAAACGCTACTCCTCCTACAGTTTTGGTCCGATTTCAATATAACTTGGCACACAAGTAGACTACACTAAGATACATAATTTAGTGCATCGGTTTTTGATTTCGATGGACGGTGTTGCCATGGTTACTAAAAATAGAAATTTCTGTGAAATTCCTTTAAAACGTTACTCCTCCTACAGTTTTGGTCCGATTTCAATATAACTTGGCACACAAGTAGACTACACTAAGATACATAATTTAGTGCATCGGTTTTTGATTTCGATGGACGGTGTTGCCATGGTTACTAAAAATAGAAATTTCTGTGAAATTCCTTTAAAACGCTACTCCTCCTACAGTTTTGGTCCGATTTCAATATAACTTGGCACACAAGTAGACTACACAAGATACATAATTTAGTGCATCGGTTTTTGATTGCGATGGACGGTGTTGTCATGGTTACTAAAAATAGAAATTTCTGTGAAATTCCTTTAAAACGCTACTCCTCCTACAGTTTTGGTCCGATTTCAATATAACTTGGCACACAAGTAGACTACACTAAGATACATAATTTAGTGCATTGGTTTTTGATTTCGATGGACGGTGTTGCCATGGTTACTAAAAATAGATATTTCTGTGAAATTCCTTTAAAATGCTACTCCTCCTACAGTTTTAGTCCGATTTCAATGTAACTTGGCACACAAGTAGACTACACTAAGATACATAATTTAGTGCATCGGTTTTTGATTTCGATGGACGGTGTTGCCATGGTTACTAAAAATAGAAATTTCTGTGAAATTCCTTTAAAACACTACTCCTGCTACAGTTTTAGTCTGCTTCTAATATAATTAGGCATACAAGAAGACTATACTAAGATACATAATTTATTGCATTGGTTTTTGAATTCGATGAACAGTGTTGCCATGGTTACTTAAAATAGAAATTTCTGTGAAATTCCTTTAAAACGTTACTCCTCCTACAATTTTGGTCTGATTTCAATCTAATTTGGCACACAGTAAGAATACACTACGATACATAATATGTATTTCTGTTTTTTTTTATTTGGGTGAGTGGTGTTGTCATGGTTACCGGTACTAAAAATAGGAATTTCCGTGAAATACTTTCAAAACGCTACTACTCCTAGTTTTCATTTGATTTCAATATAACTTGTCACAAAAGTAGACTACATTAAGATACATAATTCTATTTATTGTTGCATGTTGCAATGTTTCAAATCCAAGTGCTACTTTTCTTTTGTTATACAAACAGACCAGTAGAGCTACAGTCTCATCAGAGACTTCTGGTTAGTTGTTGTTACCGTGCGAACCAAGAACAACAAGCGTTGCGTTGTGGGTCCAAAGTTACTGTATCAAAAAATTCTATTGAAAAAATGTGCAGTAGTCCGAATTTTCTCTTCACACAGGCGTTGTCGTTAGAGCTTTGCTTTGCGCCGCTTACTGCCCTTGCTCTAAGTTGTCGACTAATACTTAATAAACATTTCCAATTTTAACGACAACTGATAAAAACTTTTCTTTAAAAAAAAAAAAAACAGGAAGAAAAATGAACAGGGGAAGAAAAACATCTTCATCTATGTGAAATAGGGATGTCAACGAATAGTCGACTATTCAACTATCAGTCGAATGGACCGACGATCGAATAATGAAACGACATTCGAATATTGTTATTATTAAATAAATGCAATGAAAGAGTGAAAACGAGATGGAATTCTCATCTCAAAATTCAGAAACCGTCTTTCCTCAGAAATAGTCGATAAGATAATTTTCCTCAACCAAAAAAGAATGACTTTTCATGTACGTAAAGAAAGTACATGTACAGTATTTGTGAGTGCTTCACTACCGCGAGAATTATTTGTCAGTTACTGCCTGTGTTGTTTTTGTTGTAAATTACCAATCAAATTACTGGGCTTTGTTTGGAAAATTAATAAATGGGCTTGATCTTATACCCTGTACCAGTTATATCTTATTAATTTAGATTGCTCAAATCGAAGAAACACACCATAGCCATGACATGTTTTGACACTTCGATAATTATTAAAACAATCCACTTCCATTTTAAGGACATTTTGATAGCCAGGGCAATCAATAACTGATTAAGCAGTATTTGTTTAACAATATTGCGAGCACCTGATGTGTAATATAATATGAAATTATCCCCCCACCCCAGCCTTAATTTATTTCATAATAGGCTTAAAAAGAATAAAGACTATCAATTTTTAAATAATGCATCCTAAAATAAAAATTGACTGTATAGACCGATTTATGAATTCAACTGACGGGGAAATTAGACATTTTGGAGAATTAGGTGTCTAAATTTATTTCATATAATCATGTTATCCACACATTACGTTGTATTTAATTTGAGGTTACTTTTCAAATAGATTAAAGTTAAAGAGTTTTTGAGTTACGAATACATAATATATCAGTGAAGTTTGAAATCATATTTTATTTTCAGAAGAAGTTCCAAATATTCGACTATTGTTCGAATAATGCAATTGAATAATCAACTACGGAAAATAAATATTTTGACATCCCTTATGTAAAATAAATATTGTTTTAATTTTATTCCAATAACTTCAATCTTTCTTCTGAAAATCTGAACAAAGATTTACTTTATTAAGAACGAGATCAAATAGGTGTAAGGTGTACATCGCTTTAGATGCAAAATAAACCCTTCCGATAAGACACATGCAAAAACCACAGACATAGAACATTGGAGATTTGTCATAGCATACTGCCAAAATTCACACATGCAAAAATTTGACAAAAAAAGGACACAGGTAAAATTTGGCGAAACCACTCGGAGCAAACATGTAATGGGGGCGAACCCACCGTTATCCATGGCAAAACAGGAAGTTTGAAGGTTTGAAATGACCATTGCACCACGAAGAGAGATAACTCTTAAGAATGTGTATGTCGTTTATTCACTTTATAATACGACTAGTTAAAGTTCAGTATTTTGAGAGATAATCATCATCTTGTGCCTTAGCTAAAGTTATAACAAACTATATGCAAAGTAGCAGAATCTGAATGGATCATTATCTAAACCACATCAATTTTGTGGAATACAAAATTGGTACCTAAATGAATGCAAGCCTATTAAGCTTTTTGGTGCTCTTCTAGTGAGTCTTAAATCCACATCAAGGAGAAAATTTAACACAATTTTTTGCCTCTGCAAACTTATCCCCCCCAAGTTTACGTTAGCCGTCTGTAGTGCTCGTAGTGCAGAAGCAAGTTGGAGTTGCTTCCCCTGTTTCTTGCTACAGTGCAGATTTGTCTTTGCACTGGATCTGAAGAAGAGAACTATTTTAGCATTCTCTCTAGTTTTATTAGCTCACCTGAGCCGAAGGCTCAAGTGAGCTTTTCTGATCAAAATTTGTCCGTTGTCTGTCGTTGTCGTCGTTGTAAACTTTTCACAATTTCATCTTCTTCTCCAGAACAACTGGGCCAATTTCAACCAAACTTGCCACAAAGTATCCTAGGGTGAAGGGGATTCAAGTTTGGTCAAATGAAGGGCCACGCCCTCTTTCAAGGGGAGATAATAAAGAATTAGTGAAAAATTAATAGCATCTTTTAAAAATCTTCTTCTCAAGAATCAGAGGGCCAGGAAAGATGAAACTCACGTGGAAGCATCCTCAGGTAGTGTAGATTCAAGTTTGTTCAAATCATGACCCCTGGGGGTAGGGCGGGGCCACAATGGACTATCAAAGTTTTACATAGAAATATATGGGAAAAATCTTTAAAAATCTTCTTCTCAGAAACAGCAAAGCCCTGATTGATCATATTTATATGGAAGCATCCTGAGGTAGTGTAGATTCTATTTTGATCAAATCATGACCCCGGGGGTAGGGTGGGGCCACAATGGAGGATCAAAGTCTTAAATAGAAATATATAGGAAAATTTCTTCTGAAGAAGAACTGCAAAGCCATGATTAGTCATTTTGATATGGAAGCATCCTCAGGTAGTGTAGATTCAAGTTTGTTAAAATGATGACCCCCGGGGATAAGGTCGGGCCACAATGCAGGATCAAAAATTTTACATAAGAACATATAGGAAAAATATTTCTTCTCAAAAACAGAAAAGCTATGTTTAGTCATATTGATATGGAAGCATCCTCAGGTAGTGTAGATTCAAGTTTGTTCAAATGATGACCCCTGGGATAGGGAGGAGCCACAATGGGGGATCAAATTTTTACAAAGGAATATATGGGAAATTTTTTTTAAAATCTTCTCAAGTACAACAAAGCCATTTCTTATATTGACATGGAAGCATCAATTCAAACCCCCCCCCCCCCCCCCCCCCAAAGTAAACTTTTCAATACTGAACTGATTTGTGCTTTTAGCCAATGTGCTCAGGTGAGCGATGTGGCCCATGGGCCTCTTGTTCATTAGTAGCATCAATCATTGCTAAGAATGTGCAGTTTGTTTAACATCTGATAAATCTTCATCAGTCTTTGTACCGTCTATCTGACAACACTTTCTTGCCTTGAATAACTTGGGAACTTCTGTATCAAAAAATTGCATATTCACTGTCTCTACAGATCAGGGTGGTAAAATAGACACCCTTAGGTTCGAAAACTGATCCATTTATTACAGCTCAGCCTGGTCAGGGTTTGGCTATGCATTGAAATTTAGCCTAAAAAAGTTACACATGTATGTTTGTTAATTGAGGGTAAGCTCTAAAAGAAAGAAAAAATTTAAATACATGTATTACATGTATAGCAGGGTTTAAACTAACTTGAAACCTTTCCTAGACATGTGGGTCAGGGTTCAACACATCACTAGTGTGGGCATTAGTCCAGCTGGACTTGTGCTTCCTTATTTTTACTAGTCTGCAGGCATTATTAATGGTCTGTCAAAAAATGCAGCATCGTTGTTTTTTAATGATTATATGTAATTTTATATAAGTCGACAGAAAATTCTACACTGGAAAATATGGAATGCCTCAACTCAGATCTTTTTTTTTTGACCAAATTTATTTTTGTCATATACAGTGATACTTTAAAAAAAAAAATGCAATATCAGTATTTTTGTGTATGCAAAATAACTACTCCATCAAAAGACAAAATAAATGAACTATGAATGCTAAGGATGTAGATATGAATTTGTAATTGGTATTTATTCACAATTTTAAATTGATGCTTATTACATGTATTCATTGTGGATTTACTAAAAAAAAAAATTTTTGCAATTTTACAGAGCTGTTGAAAGAATGCAGAATGATGAGAGACAAATGGCAGAGAAACAACATCAAAACATGGATGGAAGCAATGTGGTATTCCCGTCTGGGTTACCACAGACAATACTTGTTCACCATGTGCATTCCACACAACAGCAACTACTAAATAAATCAGGTACATGCACTAAAGTAAACCAGAAACAGCCTCACTTACAGAGGTTTTGATGAAACAGAGGGTAGTATCTGCAGTGTTCAAAATGAGTTCATTCACAATGAATAAAATCAAGTAAATGTTGAAATTTTTTGACAAAGCATGTTTTCCTCAAGAACTTAATTTACTGTATTAAGTTTAAGAAGAGAAGTTGGAAATTTAATGTGTACTAGAAATTCTGGCATTATTGAAAAATCAGATAATTTCTGTTTAAATCGATAATAATGAAAATGGATAGTATTAATTTTCACATTAATTTTAATCATGTCTTATTAAAGAATAAATATATACTCTTTATATAAATGTCTATATCGTAACAACTCCTTATGTAAAATGAAAACATGCAGCAAGTTTTGATTGTGATTTTACAAACTAAAGATTCTGAATCTGTGTTGTTTTATGTGCATGTGGTTTAAGTAATCTTGTAAATAAATTGAAATACATGCATGTATTAAATTGTAATTAATTCAATTTATATAATCAATTGTAAGCAATTCTTAACATTTAAATAGGGCAAGTTAAGTTAATTCAGTACTCTACTTGCATGTATTTTCCCCACATATGTAAACAAGAGTGATTTTTGTTCATCAATACTTTGTTTATGAACACTTCGGGGGATGGAAGGGCGGGGATTTATCAGCCTATTTTGGGAAATGCCATTTTTGGGGAATTGGGAAAAATTATCGGCTTTTTGATGAAATTGGGAAAAAATAAAAATTTGCTTAAATCATGTATTCAGGTGTAATATATTCAACATTTCAGCATGAACTCTAATTTGGGCAACCAAACAGACCATTAAATATGATCCAACTTCACAAAGAATTCAATTATGAATAACACTAAATAAAAGTAAAATTGACTTCAATGAGTATAAAGTGTTTATATAACTTAGGTAGTACATGTGTGTATGAGATTCCAATTTAGGTCATTACAGAATATGTTTCTGGAAATTATAAACCTGACCTGCAAAAAATTGTACTAAGTACAAATTTTCTCAAAGTCCTCTTTTAATATGTATTAATGTATTGAAAATATATTTTTTTTCTATTTGAAATAATGCCTACAGTCCTTACCATTCACTCAATACTCAATTGAGTAGGTAGAAATAACTTAATAAATCTATATAATTACACAATATCACCATTTTCAGAAAAATGGAGGAAATTCGGATTAAAAGTTGGTGATCAGGGGTGTGCAATTAAAAAAATCAAGTACTAGCCCACGGGCTAGTGGCAGCAATAAAGTTACTAGCCCCAAGTAAAAAGTTACTAGCCCAAATGTAGGTGGGAAAAGTAACAACTACGAAAACTGAATAAATTATTGTTGAATAAGTCAGGGGTTTAAGGTAATTCTTTTTAAAATTAAAGTTTTATTCTCACTAGTAAAATTGAATCATGTATAAATTAATAATTATGATAGAAAATAAAAATGAATTTAAATAAATTATTTTTTTTCCTTTTCTCTGTGCATATTGCACTAACTCATCTAAAACGAAGTGAAATCTTTTTTTTATCTTAAATTATCAAATACACTGTAAATATATTTTATATACACATAAATCACATAATACTTATCTTTCAGTTGATTGAGTGATGGTAAATAATAGATATCTGCCTTTATTTACCATAAACACATGAATGGAGGAAATTCGGATTAGGAAAAAAAACGATCGTTTTTGGAAGTAAATAAGTCAGGAAGTGCTGCAAAATGGATAAGATTATGGAGATTTACGAACAAAAGGAGCATTCTGCCTGAAAAATTTTCATTGGTTGGGAATTTAATAGCAAAAAATAAGTGAAAACACCGGTAGTGATTTTCATTTATAACATTGGTATTTTTAATTTTTACTAGCCCAAGGGGCTACCTGCATGCAGAGAACAACTAGCCCGACCCCAAAAAATGGTAGCCCCGGGCGTCGGGCGATGCTAATTGCACACCCCTGGTGATGTTTTTACAGTGTTTTTAAACGTGTTATGACTGTAGCTTTGCTAAATGAGTTAAAAAGATGAAAATTACAGAAAATCTGAGAATTTTACTTAGTTTTTTTCCAAGATAATTAAATATAATAGCATTGTTCACCAATTGGGAAAAAATGCTGCCAAATTGGGAAAAACCGAATTTCGGCCCCTGAGAAGGTACTGATAAATCCCTGAAGGGGGAGGTAGATAGGGAGCTAAATGTCAGGTACCTGTGTTGAAAATTAAATAGAAGAGCTGAATATTTATCCAATTTTCTCAGTGTTCAAAAAACATTTTGTTTTAGTAATAGAGTATACTTGAGTTAATGTAATGTTCCTCAACCTTTATAAATAAAAAAGTGAATAATTACAAAACTGTATAAATAATTTTTAAAAAATGAACTTAAAATTGAGACTTTTTTTTTTGTAATTTCAGATGCAAGCAGCAGTGGTGTAGATGAGTTACAAAGAACTACACAAGGAACTGCTAAACAAGGAGGGAGTAGTACAGCAGCCACAGGAACCATTCACCATACAGGTCAAAGCCCTTCCAGTGGAGGGCAAAGCTCTCGACCCAACCTACCTCAACAACATATTGTGACTATGAGTAATCAAACGCCTAAAAGCACTAGTTCATTAGTTGGGGCTAGTAGCTCAGCTTCGGTTTCCACTAGCAGAGCTCCAATGGATTCAAAACCCCCAGCTTTAAATTTAACTTTTCCAAACTTAACTGCATTAGGTAACCAGACTGGTCCATCTCCCAAGAAGAAAATTAAGTTGGAAGAAAAACCTGCAGCTACCCATGAGATAGCAAATCATAGGAAATTGATATTAGATCTTAAGTATAAAAGTATGTTGGATATAAAGGAACCATACATAGATAATTTGACAGAAATGTTCTTCCTTCAAAATGGAGGGAATTTGATGGATTTTCTTGCATGGAAGAAAAGGCCAACTCCTCAATTAGTTCACTTTCTGAAATCTGGGAGTTTGGATAGTGATGATGAAGAGGAGAGTAGTTTGGAGAGGAAAATTAATAATGAAGTAAGAAGATATTAATCTACTAAATAAATGATTGCTAAAGGATAATTTAATAACTGATATAATATTCATATAGATTCTTACAAATGCATTTCTAGAATACGCTGTACTTAACAGGTTAAGGTCATCACATGTAGTGGAAGCAATGTTCCACTGGCTACACCTGTAGCTATATCAACCACATTACCCCCGTCAGTAGCTGCCCTGAATCAACAAGGTAACAAACACTTGTGTATGTACAGTATATGTTTTTTTAAGTTTTCATTTTATATGAAATATAATGCTTCAGTGCACATTGTTTAAAGGCCTCGATCAAATTTATTTCTGTGTAACTGCATGTACATGTATATTTAAATTCCTTTAACAACAGTATTGGGTTTTGTATGCATACATGTCTTAACAAAATTCACTCATGCATTGAAAATTCTGTGCATCTAGCTAATTTTTCATGAAATAGCATTGTGTGATGAAACTAAAGGCAGTCATTTTCATATTTTTTTTTATTTTATAAAGAATTGGTCAGCTTTATAAACATTGCATGTTCTCTGTGTTGTAATCAACTGTGTTATGTATTATGCTTCCACGTTACAATTATGGAGTCGCCTTGAAATCTCTAGTTTTAGGGTGCTATTGTAACGGAATATAAACTTAGCAAGAACATTTCGTTGTGTGTCTTCCTCATAGGCATTCAGCTTGCAGTCTTGATACATTGCTACTAATGTCCCTAAAATCTATTTAGATTTTTACAGACTTTCTTAATAGCTTTAAGTTTTGGAAACCTTTATTAAGCATTGATGTTGTATTGTTATCTTTTGATGAGTTAATTTTTCTTTGAATTCTATCTCTTGAGTTTATTTTCTTAATTATGTGTGTGCTTGGCTGAATGTTGCTGTAGCTTTATTAGGAATTGGATCTTCTATAAATAATAAAATTTGAAAATAAGCTTTATTAGGGATTGAATCTTCTTCAATAATATTTTTTTTAAATTGCCTTAAACAGGGCTTAAAGGCACCTCAGATTTTGTAACTCAGTTTGTTACAATATTTCATCCAAAAAAAAAAATTTTTTTTAATTAAAAAAAATCTTAAAGTGGTATTTGCATTCATGGCGATGTAAAATTAGCAGGGTTTGATCCGCGCCGCCCAGGGGGACGACATGGAATGATTTTTGGTCATGTGCAGCATCTATCACAACCTCCTACTATACTCCCTATACTTCAAGCTGGTCCCATCATTCTGCCAGGTACACACACTGATTAGGAAGATAAATAGTATGAAAGCCTATTACACGTATTTAAGATTTTAAAATGTTGTAATTGGATGTTGTCCTTATGATGCATAAATAGGTACAGGTGCGGTCACTACTGATAGCTTAGCTGCGAAGAGTACCACTCAGTCTGTACCAGCTCAAAAGATTGTTACCACAACAAGTATGACCACAGTAACTTTGGCAACTCCTCTGTCAATGCCACAGCTTCACAGTCATCTAGCCAAGGCAATCACAGACAGCAAGCCTCCAGCTGCTCAGACATCCTCAACCAAGTCAAATGTGACTGCAGCCTCACCGATGTAAATAGCTTTATCATATATGTTGATATCTTGAATGGTACTGCTATGAAAAAAAATAATACAATCTAGTGAAAACAATGCCACTGTTCTTTGCAGAGTATCTGTATCAACTCCTGTTGTTAAAACTACAAAATCACCCCCAATATCTCCCAATGTTCAACAGCCCAAGACACCAACTATATCAGGGGTTTATGATGGTGCACCAGGTGTGGGAACACAGGAGGCAATAGTTGAAAGAGCAAAACAGGTCAGTATGTGCTTAATTTGAATCCTTATTAACCTCATCAAATGTGTTTATCTATCAGGATTTGCTACATTCATCCTGGAAACATTGATGAGAGAGCATTGCAATGCTGCTTCCAAATCTGGTTTCCATGCCAGTTTTGGCAATGAATATTGCAACATATTGGAATAGGTTTTTTTTTTCCTGAATCTAAAGCGTGCAAGACTACCCATTCAGTTTATGTTGTTCATCTGTTTACAGGAGGCACAGGTGATGCAGAGAGTTTCTGAACTGAGAAAGGAAGGACTGTGGTCAACAAGGAGACTACCCAAAGTGCAGGAACCTCCTAGAAACAAAGGGCATTGGGATTATCTGTTGGAAGAAATGCAGTGGTTAGCTGCAGACTTTGCCCAAGAAAGGAAATGGAAGAAGGCAGCTGCAAGAAAGGTATTTTACATGTACATTATCCCCAAAGTTTGGTCCATCAACATTCACATTCTCAACCCTATTACCCCACCCTAATGTACTAGTGTATCCTTGTATGAGGTTCTTGCTGACTGGTCAGATTCCTAGTTGGAATATGCTTTAAATTGGAAGAAAAATAACATAATAATATATATACATGTATATCATCAATATTGTTGCCAAAATTTATTTAATTTCAATAAAGGTGGATATTGTGAATATTTGTACTTTTACACTGTTTAGGTGGCTGTGTAACATGATTTTACAGTTTAATTATGACTGTTTGTAGGTAGCAAAAATGGTATCAAAGTATTTCCAAGATCTTGAGCAGAAAGAAATAAGAGCAGAGAAGGAAGAGGGTCTGAAACTAAAGAAAATAGCTAGCCAGATGGCTAAACAGATCCGGGAGTTCTGGACCAATATTGAAAAGGTAAGGATCTATTTGCTATCTCTTCAAATTGGCCACTATTACCAAGACCAGCTATACTGATATAAATAGCTGAGTTGTGAAGATGGCCAAAGATTAATTCAAATTGTCGCAATTTACAATGAAGACATTTGAAACATTTATTTAGTCTTGTCGCTTGACTTTTGCATGTTTTGAGCAAAACATGCTGTAAAGTGGTGAGCAGTGAAGAATGACCTCGATTTACTAAGTAACCTACTTATTGCAGGTGGTGCAGTACAAAGCTCAAGCAAGACTTGAGGAGAAAAGGAAGAAGGCTTTAGACTTGCACCTTAACTTTATTGTTGACCAAACAGAGAAGTATTCTACATGGCTTACAGAAGGATTAAAGAAGGAAGGGACTTCCATAGGAAGTGGGTCCAATGTAGCAACTCCAGCCCACAGTGATGCAGGAGATGAAGAATTCAGACCAGCAAAAGAAGATGAATCTGATGATGAGGAGACTATTGAAAAAGAAGAAGCTGAACAAGATCCAGTGAGTATTGGTCATTGTGGTCATTAAACCAATACCCTCTTCCCAGCAATGAAATTGTGAAAGGGGGGGTGGGGGTGGGGGTAGCATTATTATGTATTAAGTTGTCCTTTTATCCCTATTATCCATTAGTATGTAGTTTGTTCTGACTTGTCACAAGTGACAAAACTTCTGTACATGTCAGTAATTTCTTGCATCTTTAAATGCTTTTATCTAGGCAATATTTGAAATGTACCATATTTTAATAGAAATCTGTCAGTGGGATGGATGGGTATCTATCTCTTAAGGACAGTTTTAATTTAATCTTCACATCCCAACCACATACTGAAATTTGTGAATAGAGTTCAGAGGGTGCAAATACTTCACAGATTGATAGTTCATTGTTTATTTGTTACAGCTGAATACCAAAGCAGAATTAGATGCTTTACAGAAGGAGAGTGAATTACCCTTTGAGGAACTTTTAAAAACATTGCCAAAAGAGGTTCTGGAGAATCCAGTTCCTGTACATTCTGATGAGGCTGATGAAGAGGTACTGATTTCTTAGCTACATTAATTATAGAAATCCCCAAGTACACTCCCATTGTAACATAAGTCACAGTGGATTATCTTTCAGGGGTAGACTAACAATCTTGGAAATGCACAGCATATCTCATTCAAAGATATGCAAAATTTCTTCGATTACAGTTTGTTCAGAAATAAATGTAATTGAAAGTTTTTCAACTGTGCAGTTTTAAGAAGTAAGTATTGCCTTACAGGATAAGAAAGATACAGAATTTAAAGCAACTGAGGATGAAAAAGATGAAGAAGACACAATTGCTGAACAAGAGAAACATGAAAAGAAGATAGATTATTCCAAAGAACTGAGTGATCTGAAGGATGAAAGTAAAAGCATTTCCTGTTTATGATTTATTGTTACAAAAGTTTGTTGATATTCTGTTTTTTACTACGAAAAAAGCCTGTACTAAAAAATAAATATTGTATTGCAGATGAAATGACCATGGAGGAACTGTATCAAAAATATGCAGGGGCTTATGACAGTGATTTTGAAATGCCAGAGGAGGAGGAGGACAGTGAAGATGAAGATTCAGATGATGATGAGGAAGAGGAGGATGAAAGTGAAGGTAATTCAAACAAAATTATTGGAAGCTTAAGAGGAATGAATTGGCTTGTTTTATGAAAAAATATCTAGATATGTAATTATAATTTTTAGCTCACCTCGACGAAGTCGAGATGAGCTTATGCTATACCCCTGGCGTTGGCGTCGGCGTTAGCGTCGGCGTCCCAGGTTAAAGTTTTAGGAGCAAGTCCATTCCCAAGTAACTACAAGCCCTACCTGGACCAAATTTGCATGGATGATGCATCTAGGGATGGACACTACCACACTTGCTTCGGATGCTGGATCTGACCTAGATTTTCCAGATGAGTGACCAGGTTAAAGTTTTTGGAGCAAATCCATTCCCAAGTAACTACAAGCCCTACTTGAACCAAACTTGCATGGATGATGCATCTAGGGATGGACACAACCACACTTGCTTCAGATGCTGGATCTGACCTAGATTTTCCAGTTGAGTGACCAGGTTAAAGTTTTTGGAGCAGGTCCATTCCCAAGTAACTATAAGCCCTACCTGAACCAAAGTTGCATGGATGATGCATCTAGGGATGGACACTACCACACTTGCTTCGGATGCTGGATCTGACCTAGATTTTCCAGATGAGTGACCAGGTTATAGTTTTTAGAGCAGGTCCATTCCCAAGGAACTATAAGCCCTTACCTGAACCAAACTTGCATGGATGATGCATCTAGGGATGGACACTACCACACTTGCTTCGGATGCTGGATCTGACCTAGATTTTCGTGTTGAGTGACCAGGTTAAAGTTTCTGGAGCAAATCCATTCCCAAGTAACTATAAGCCCTATCTGGACCAAACTTACATGGATGATGCATCTAGGGATGGACACTACCACACTTGCTTCGGATGCTGGACCTGACCTAGAATTTCCAGATGAGGGACCAGGTTAAAGTTTTTGGAGCAAGTCCATTCCCAAGTAACTATAAGCCCTACTTGAACCAAAGTTGCATGGATGATGCATCTAGGGATGGACACTACCACACTTGCTTCGGATGCTGGATCTGACCTATATTTGGAGCAGATCTATTCCCAAGTAACTATAAGCCCTTACCTGGACCAAACTTGCATGGATGATGCATCTAGGGATGGACACTACCACACTTGCTTCGGATGCTGAATCTGACCTAGATTTTCCAGATGAGTGAATTTTAGCCATATTTTAATCAAATTAGCATGGATGATGTATCTTAGGATGGACACTTTCAGACTTGTTTTGGATTCTGAATCTGACCTACATTTTCCAGATGGGTGACCAGAGTAATGTTTTTGGAGTAGCTATATAATATTATGGCATGTTATGATTAAACAGCTTGGATGGTACATCTAAGGATGAAAACTTCCAGACTTGCTTTGGATGTTGGAACTGTCCAAAATTTTCTTGATTAGTAAACAGGTTAGAAGTTTTTTGAGCAGATCTATTTCCAAGTATCTATAAGTCCTTCTTAAACCAAACTTGTATGGATATTGATCTTGGGATGAACACTAACTAGAAAAAATATGATGTGAGATTTGCCTTACTTATAGATAGCCTTCGTCGAGGTGAGCTTCGTAATCTTTGATTACCTATGTTTTTATTATTGAAAACAGAAGAGGAGGAGGAGGAAGAAGATGAAGAAAGTATGGAAGAAGAGAGTACAGAGAAGGATGATGTTGGGTTGGAATTCTTGACACAGAAAGATGAGGATTCTAAATCTCAGGTACATGTAAATAAACTTGAGCAAAAACAAAGGGGGGGGGGGGGGGGGGGGGGGCTGACGAAACGGAAATGGTTTCTTGTCCAGGAATTAGTTGAGGTAATTAGATAAATCTAATATGCTGTTCAAATATTTTTAGGGTGATTTTGATCAGGAAGGTCCAGGCAAAGAAATCACTGATATTGCAGCACAAGCTCAAAGTCTTCAACCCAAGGGATACACTCTAGAAACAACCACTGTAAGTGTGTACTGAATACATGTTTTAGTTTATTTCCTGGAGATTTTATTATTCTCCGTTCTCTACAACTTAGAGAATGGTTGTACCAGTCTCCAACATAAAATTTGCCAATTGCTTTGACAATTTTTTTAATAAAATTGTCATATCTCAAGGTAAATACATTTCATAGAAATGCTTACTGGTATATTATGAATCAGATGTTGATTTTAAGATTCATGTAATGTACAAATGTATGTTTCCTCCAGGTTAAAACAGCTGTGCCATTCTTATTGAAACATACTTTACGAGAATATCAACATGTTGGTCTGAACTGGCTTGCCACTATGTATGAGCAGAGATTAAATGGAATTTTGGCTGATGAAATGGGTCTTGGAAAGACGATTCAGACTATTGCATTGCTGGCTCATTTGGCTTGCGAGAAAGGTTAGTGAATTGTAACCTTTTAAGAACATAAGAAATGCTGATATGTTCCAATCATTGAATATACAGTTGATGTATTTAATAATCTTGTTTTCAGGTATATGGGGACCCCATTTGATTGTTGTTCCAACAAGTGTAATGCTTAATTGGGAGATGGAAATCAAAAAATGGTGTCCAGCATTCAAAATACTCACCTACTATGGATCTCTTAAGGAAAGGAAGTTAAAAAGACAGGTAAGCAGGAGGATTAAGATGGGGTAATTAAAGGCTTGTTAGCTTTCCATAGCTAAGTGGTTGAGAACCCCCTAGATAAATTGACTGTTATCATCCATTGAGTTTAGTTTGCTGAAATCAGAATAACAGAAACATTGCATCAATATTCAATTGTAATTCATGTAAGTAATGACAAATGTAAGTGGTAACTAGTAAGGTTCATTTCATAATCATAGTGGGAAAAAAGTAGGTTTAAAATTTTGCTCCATGGAATTTTCCATGAAGGAGTAAAACTTCAAGGAGAATATTCAAATTATGAATTACTTTCGAGAGAAGTGAATGCAATCCACAATGTATAAAAGATCTTTGTAATAAATAGTAAAAACATGTATGTATGTATGTTTCTTAAAATGGAATATACATTTAGATAACCCTTTTCCCTACAAAGAAACATATTGTCAAAATATATTATTTTTTGTAGGGTTGGACCAAAACCAATGCCTTTCATATCTGTATAACATCTTATAAACTTGTTATACAAGACCATCAGTCTTTCAGGAGAAAGAAGTGGAAGTATTTCATCTTAGATGAGGTAAAGGAGGCATACTTTACGTTCTATTGATTTAAAAACTTTGAAAATTTCCATTTGATAATGTGTTTGATTAACTGGCATTAGCCTCTGTTGATACAGACATCGAGATTGATAGCATATCTTTCTTTGCATAGAGAGAGTATGTGAGAAATTCTCGGATATAAATTGAAGGAAAATTGAGTGTACAATTATTTTCATTGTGCCATTTATTTTACTTCTAACATAATATCAATGAATTTGTATTAATCAACAATAAAATTAGCATGCATATTACAGAAATAATGTTCTCTTTTCACAAAACAGGCTCAAAACATCAAAAACTTCAAGTCTCAAAGATGGCAGACCCTCCTGAACTTTTCAAGTCAGAGACGATTGCTTCTGACCGGGACTCCTCTTCAGAATAGTTTGATGGAATTGTGGTCACTGATGCATTTCCTTATGCCTCATGTGTTTCAGTCTCACAGAGAATTTAAAGAGTGGTTTGCTAATCCTCTGACAGGGATGATAGAGGGGAGTCATGAATACAATGAAAGTCTCATTAAAAGATTACACAAGGTAAGCAGATTAATTCATCTTAATTTGGTTATAACTCCACATCAAATCTGTGCTGAACTGTGCATGAGAAAAAGATGGATTTTCATGGCTTTCATTTCAGGTACTAAGACCATTTTTACTGCGTCGATTAAAGAAAGATGTTGAAAAGCAGATGCCAAAAAAATATGAGCATGTGGTTATGTGCCATTTGTCTAAACGACAAAGATACCTTTATGATGATTTCATGTCACAGACAAAGTAAGTAGAAACTAGAAATGTTTTAAGTTTTTGATTATTGATGTTATTCTTCCTTTTTGACATTATTCCTATTTATATGATATGTATTTAAATTGTCTTTTAGAACTAAAGAAACCCTGGCTAGTGGACATTTTATGAGTGTTATCAACATCTTAATGCAGTTGAGAAAAGTGTGTAATCATCCAAGTCTCTTTGATCCAAGGCCAATTGTATCACCATTCAAAACTGAAGGCATTGACTACTTTGTTCCATCACTGGTGCTGAATTGCTTGAACTATGATCCTTTCAAGGTACATTAGTTTGTTGGCTTAAAAAAATTCATTGCGATTATAAAGATCACTGTAATTTCATTGTGGATTGCTAAAAGTTGCAATTCGAGGGGACATTACCATAAGTTTTGGGGTATATGTCGATGGGGTGTATAGGTCGAAAGGCTCATTTTCAGCCGTAATTTTTAAAAAATCCTTAGATAGGACGAATTTGGAAGATAGGACGAGGCTTTGTTTATCGATTTCTAGAGATTCTTACGTAGATACTACGTATCAGAACATGTAAACCTCTTTAACTTAACCCGTGATATTAACGTATTGAGAAAATAACCAGTATTTTTATGAGTACAGTATTTTATTAGTGTTTTATACAAACGTACTTAAAACTTCCTTGAATTGTGATATAACGTATTTTCTCCAACTTGCCTGTTCAATGCCGTCATAGTTTGACTCTTTCGTTAAACACATAAATACGGTAGTATAAAACAGCTATAATTAGGGAAATACCCGAAATCAAACAATAATCATTTCCATTTTAGAACATCGTGGACACGTTCTTTTATTCCGACATTATATACCTGGGTAAAAAATTAACTTCGATGACCGCCATTTTTATATTTTCTTGTCCAGGGATTTGCTAAAACACGCAAATGACTATTACATGTAACAGTGCGCAAATGAAATTAATCATATTTTAAAACATGCTATAATTTTGCATGAGATATTGTTGTAAAAAGTAAATTTAATTGAGAGTACATTCGCAATTTAACAGTCATCAAGAATTTCACAGTTTTGTTGTTCAATGATGTATAGCACTAATACCCCTGTAACGGCACGTGGATCTGTTAATCATGCCCCGCAGGTGTTTTAACCAACACAGGTGTTAACACCTTTGTGTACACAGTGTATATCCCTTTATCTGTCAGACAATTAAAATTCTATTAGAAGCCAATCTTTGTATAATTCAGTGTACCCCTTGGGTACGAGGAAGCTTTCAATTCTATCATTTAAAAAAATATTTATTTGGTAAAACAAAAAAAAAACAACATCAAAAAACTGTGAATAAAAAATAATGTATCGTAAATAAATGAATTTATAATAACTTCCAAAAACGTATAATAGTATATTCAAGATAAGTTCGTTTTATTATAATTAATTAAGATATAAAACAAAATAGTTATTACTAGCGGTATATTTGGTAAATAAATTTAGGAATTTACTGGCAACAATTTACTACACGTATTTTACATTTAAATAAATATCACAAGACGATGAACAAATATTTAGGCATACTATTTCAATTAATCGTTACAAATAAATGGTAAAAAAAAGATTATAATTGCGATTGTGAAAACTCTTCCGTATTTTAAATTTTGATACTGCTGCGGTTTTCTTTTTAGTAAACGATTGTGACTTCCAACTTCACAAGATGGACACAGCATGTTGTAAATATACTTTGAGACATTAATTACTAGATGATATACCGGTAGTAAGTTCTCTTTTTGTACATCGACGGATATTTAATGGAACTTATTTTGTAAGAAATCAATGGAATAAATATTTAATTCTTTATTGTTTATTATTTTTTTCTCGGTAAAATAATTTTAAAAAATACGAAAATGGCACAGATTTGCTTTAAAATTGACGTAAATTTTACTGATTTGGAGGCATTTTTCGTAAACTTGAGCCTTAGATAGGTCGATTCGTTAAATAGGACGACCCCTGCGGTTCTGAGAAAAAAAGTATCGTCTTATCTTCCAAAACTAACGGTATTTAATGGGTGAGCATCTTGCAAAAGAGATCACCTACAGGTACAATATATTTCAATATTTGGTGAGGCAAATTTGGGAGGTAAGAAGTACCCATAAAATCCAAGAAAATTGGGCCTGCACAAAATACTTGTATGTGATACATGTAAATTCCATTGTAACTGATTATGAAAATTCTGTTGTAGGATATTGATCTACATTCACTTTATCCCAGTTTGGCTGACATGGAGTTAAATTTACCAGCTTTTGTGGCACACAGAGTTAAAAAACTACAGACTCCAAGAGTTTTGATTGAGGAAATTGATAGTCAAGAAGAGCCTCCATCTAGACCCCCTACTGGTAAACTGAAACCAGTGATCTTTAAAGGCATTGCTCCTGTTCAGCCAGTAAGTATGATTTGAAAATGCTATGTAACTACATTTACTGTATAAACTCCATGATAAGTACATCCAGAGTGCTGGAACAATTTCATATTAACTTGGATATCTTTGTTAGACTGGAAGAGCCTCTCCCACTACATCTGAAAAATCCACACCAGCCTCTCCAGCGGTACAATCTGCAATGAAGACAGAAACAGGTATGTAACATCTAAATTATTATGAACAATATTAGCAATCCATGTACATGTACATATGAAATTTTACAAGTGCGTATTGTACTACATGTATATGAACTTTTCAGTAAATGGAATTCAAGTAGAAAATGCCCACACTCCAGTTACAAATGCAACTGCTACAGTACAACCTCCAGTCAAAGTTCTTGGACAATCAGGCATGTCTTTCATGAGTGTATAAGAATAAAGCTACTATTCTGCCTCAGTGACAAAAGATTGAGGCTTTTTATTAGCTCACGTGAGCTGAAAGCTCAAGTGAGCTTTTCTGATCACCCGTTGTCCGTCGTCTGTCTAGCTGTCCATCCGTCCATCTGTAAACTTTTCACATTTTCAACTTCTTCTCAAGAACCACTGGGCCAATTTTAACGAAACTTGGTACAAAGTATCCTTGAGTGAAGGGGAGTTTAAATTGTTAAAATAAAGGGCCAAGTCCCCTTAAAGGGGAGATAATCAAGAAAAGACAAAAATAGGGTGGGGTCATTAAAAGATCTTCTCAAGAATCACTGGGCCAAAAAAGCTGAAACTTATGTGGAAGCATCCTGGGATAGTGTAGATTCTAAGTTGTTCAAATCATGACCCCCGGGGGTAGGGCGGGGCCACAATAGGTAATTCAAGTTTTACATTGAAATAAATAAGAAAAATCTTTAAAAATCTTCTCAAGAACCACTGGGCCAAAAAAGCTGAAACTTATGTGGAAGCATCCTGGGGTAGTGTAGATTCTAAATTGTTCAAATCATGACCCCTGGGGGTAGGGTGGGGCCACAATAGGGAATTCAAGTTTTACATTGAAATATATAGGAAAAATCTTTAAAAATCTTCTTCTCAAAAACCACTGGGCAAGAAAAGCTGAAACTTACATGAAAGCATCCTGGGGTAGTGTAGATTCTAAATTGTTCAAATCAGGACCCCCAGGGGGTAGTGTTTGGCCACAAAAGGGAATCCAAGTTTTACATTGAAATATATGGGAAAAATCTTTAAAAATCTTCTTCTCAAGAACCACTGGACCAGAAAAGCTGAAACTTATGTGAAAGCATGCTGGGATAGTGTAAATTCTAAATTGTTCAAATCATGACGGTAGGGTGGGGCCCCGGGGGTAGGGTGGGGCCACAATAGGTATTACAAGGGGGAAATCTGGTAAAAGAACAGCATGGCCAAAGTTACTCAGGTGAGCGATGTGGCCCATTGGCCTCTTGTTTAAATATCTGTCTAAGAAAAGATTGTTGTTATGTTACATTTACAAGTCAAAGGAATGTCACAGGGAAAAAAAAAGTCGCCAAAGAGGTGTTTGTGTGTCTCAAAACCAAACAGTAGCCAGTTGCTGTGAAATATTTGGAATACATGTATTTCTGAAAGTATTGATGTACACATTTACATTTATTTACATAATTCTTTGATATTTGTTTTAAAGAGCTGGTATTAAATCAACTTTCCTGCAGAAAAGTATACATTGGCTTGAATCCTTAGTTGTTCTTGAATTTTTTTTCTAAGTTGCATATTGGTATGACTTGATATATCTTTGTTCTGTTGTATTTAGATGTATTTTCTTTGCAGCTGGACAGACAGGAGTTCAGCAGCCTCTCACTGTTCACATTCAACAGACAGATCAGGGAGCTCGTCTGATGATTCCTGCAGGCCAGTTGTCTCAGTTACCAGGTAAGATACATGTACAGTATTATACTGTCAGTTTATTCTGAGGCATGTGAAATGTTATGACTGTAGCCTTTTTCGTTGTTCTGCCAATTTAATTATTTTGTTGGTGGAATTCCATCAGAGGCTTAAATAATATGCCTTTGTACGAGCCTGAGAGAATTAATGTTATCTTGCAGGTCCCTTAATTTTGGCAACATTTTATTTTTGTATGCAAAATAAGAAGATTGGTGTACCTTAGAATATGGAGTGGTTCATGGACATGTATGACTTTATTATACATTGTATTAATCATTTAATACACATACTTGTTTGTAGCTGGATTCATTCAGATTGTGCAGACTTCCACAGGACAGCAGATTATAGCTACATCTACCCCTATGTCTACTTCTAGTCAAATCTTAGCCAGCATTCCTACATCCTCTGTACAAGCTCTAAGTGTGGCTACAACCTCCTCCACTGTTGGTAAGAAGATGTTTCATGTCTTTGTCTTGTCAGCTCATGTAATTAATGCCTTTAGCTTGTTTGTTAATCTGTATTCATCAAGTTAGCAATTAGCTATGCAGTAGTGATGAGTAATGCTTTTCTTGTTTTTTTGATGAGATGCACAGTTATTTTTCACATAGAATATATAGGTTTGCTAATTTTGTACCAACTTTTAAAGCATGTAAATCATTGATAGTCCTTTTTATGTACTTACATGTACATTATTACCGAGCGGAGTCTCTTGTGATTTAATCTATTCCACAAGTGCTAAGAAATCTCGGTCAAAGAAAGTTCTCAAGATATATGCATTGGCTGTCATGCACTTATGTGACACCCAATCACCAAATCTTGAGACAGTTGAAGGTAGTAAGCTTGTACATGTAAGCTCATCATTTTTTGATATCAAGACACTGCTTGTTTTTTTCCTACACAAGGTTTTAAGTAAACTCCATTTGTGACAGCAAACCATTGAAACCTTTTGACCTAATGATGTCTTGTATTAAAGGGGCATAGACACAGATTTGAAGTTAATATTTTCTCAAATTTTCTGTATTACATCATGACATACATGTATATTGCTAAAACATTTCACATGGAAAAATAATTAAAAAAAACTTATTTTATCTGGAAATTATTGAAACTACGAATTTTGGGACATGTTTGATTGACACATCCTTGTACTTTCACAAAGTAAACTTTATTCTTAATACTTAAGAAAAGTAGAAATTTTGAACTCTCCCAAGTGTTCAACATGGCAGATTTAAATCTCAAGAAAATACTTGTTGCATTTATCCTTTAAATGGATTTATTTTTTGGTCTGAAACATTCAGAATATTGCTGCTGTAGAGGACATTCTTAACAGATAAGAGCCTGTCTTAAGTCTGTTAGATTATTTTAACTTAAAAATCGTAGGGAAGAGCAAGTCTCAAGATTTAGCCACTGGCTATGCTTTGTATGTGACACCCAGTCATCAAATCTTAGGATAGTTTGTAGTATTTAAATGTTGAGACAACAAGGTATTTGATTTAAATTCATACAAGACAGATATTTGTATGGAATGTCTGCCTTTTCCCTCTTAAAACATTAATCAATCAAGTACCAATTAGGCTTTGAACAATTGTTTGAATGTAGAAATTTTGGCTGCTGGTAAGGTCCTGATTCCTAGTACATACTTCATGCCAACGAGAATAAATCACCATTTAGTACTATATTACTAGCTTGGCTTGAGCTTTCTCGGACATTATATAACCACGTAGAGTAGATGCATGACATGTTTCCCTGCATAATTTCTTGTGTGTGTGACAATCTTTATGTGCCTGCTTTTCAAGTATTCATGTTGCAATAGCTGCTTTTATGCTTTCAATTTATGTTTGCTTTATTTGTGATTTAATTATTACAATTATGATGAGTGTGTTAACATTCTAAGAATAGTAGTATGCTTTTCTATGGAACTACATGTATATATACTAATGTCTCTCTGCATTACAGTTAATGGCCCACCAACAATTACAACAGTAGCTTCTTCTACGTCCAGTACTTTGGTAACGAGTGTGAATGCCCAGGTGAAGACGACTCCAGCAGTTCAGCTGCCATCTAGTACCACCATTGTGACCGGAGCCAGGCCTGTGATGAGAGTGTCCCCATTGTCATCCATAGCTCCAGTCACATCCACTCAGGACCCCTCAGGTGAGGAAAAAAAGTGTATTGTAGTCACTTTTTTTAAAGGGTTGAAGTTTCCTTCATAGTAGCAAATCTTTATCTAAGTAAAGTTTGGCTCATTTTTTCTATTTGTTCAGTTTCCAAGCCGTCCACAGCACAGGTGACAACTACGATGTCTCATAGTTCAACCAAGATGTCGGTGTTAGACTGTGAAAATCTGCACAACAAAAGCTCACGGTTTTACATGGTAAGGACAGATTTAAATATCATGATTAGTTGATCATACATAAAGGTTTATTTTCAGTCTAAATCAGAAGTCTCCACTAATATGTACATGTATTGGTTTTGAATAATATCATAAACATTAACATTACCTTCTTTCAGGAATCTCTGACATCAAAGCTTCAAGATCTGAGGAAGCAGAAATTGGAGTACATAGCCAAGGTTAATAAAAGGAGGTGTGAATGTAAGCCAGTGTATGGACAAGATTTGTGTGATGCAGTGGATGTTTTTAAAGACATGAACAAAACTTCTGTGAAAGATAATACATGGAAGGGACTTGGTATGGCATATTGTCGTAATGTGAAATGTTGGAGAAATCCAAATCATCCCGATATTTATTGGAAACAGACCACAGTGCTTTCAGAACTAGTTCATTCCCCAATGGATTATTTATGTGAATTGAAAGATATTCTTTCTAGGTAAGAAGGAAACATGCATACATGACTGATTCACATGTATAAAAAGATTATTTGAAAGCATGACAAGTGCATTATAATGAACATGGTCTTTTCTTGCACATTTAGAAATGCTTATTAATGCAAATTTACATGTACAGTTGAAACTGTACCATATGATTGTTTCCAATTCCAGGTTTGTGTTTGTGACACCATCAATAGTGTCACCTCAAATACAGCTTCATGCTTCACATCCGTCTCCATCCTACCTCAATCAGCAAAGGAGAACTGAATTCTGTCTCAGACAACACATCTCACCCCAAACTGAATGTCTTCATCAAATCTCATCTAGGATGAGTGTACAGTTTCCAGAGCTACGGTTGATCCAGTATGATTGTGGTATGTTAAATGCACTGAATTTTTTAAAAGAATAAAGTAAACAGGTTAGGGTATGGGTCATTTTTGTTGACTTACAGAACGAGCCCTGACGGGGTATATACATGTAGTTGAACTTCAGTATCTCGAACACCAATATCTTGCATATCAATATCTTGCATATCATGTATATGTCGAAGTAATTTGGCAGTCCCAACCACTATTCTTAAAGTATTTTACCCGTGTATTTTGAATCCTTGGATATCTCGAAGTTAATTCCCAGTCCCATTGAGTTCTAGATAGGAAGGTTTGACTATAGTTCACAAACAAACATCTTTGAATATGTTGATATTTTGCAAATTGAAAAAAAAAGTTTTCATTTGGAATACCCCATTTGAAGTGTCAGAGTTGAATGTTTTTATTGGCTCTTGCATGTAGGTAGGCAGTTAGTTTTTTGAGAATTTTTGGGTAATACATGATATATTTTTTCTCAACTTGTATGGTCTTAATGATTACTTTCTTCTCATGAAACAGTTTGCAATTAAAAAAAAATGTCATAAGATATGAAATTGACGGGTAATGTGTCAATTTTTTTTTTTACCAACTTCAGGAAAGTTGCAGACAATGGATATCTTGTTGAGACAACTAAAGTCAGAAAATCATAGAGTGCTTATATTCACCCAAATGACCAAAATGTTGAACATTCTGGAAGCCTTTTTGAATTTCCATGGCCATAGGTATCTACGACTAGATGGTACCACAAAGGTGGATCAAAGACAGGTAAGATTCTAGTTCATGTGTGAATTTATACTAACATATCAGTCCAATATAGATGTACATGTACATCTAAAAATGCAGTCTTGTTTCTTACTGATGATATTCTTATTCCAGTTCCTTATGGATCGCTTCAATGCAGACAAGCGTATATTTGCTTTCATTTTGTCCACTCGTTCTGGAGGTATTGGTGTGAACTTGACAGGGGCAGATACTGTGATATTTTATGACAGTGATTGGAATCCAACAATGGATGCCCAGGCACAGGACAGGTGTCACAGAATCGGACAGACCAGAGATGTTCATATCTACAGGTAAGTAAGCACCTGTGCTTGAAGTTTGACTGCTGTTACATTGTTGTTTAAATCTGTTGCAAATGGAAGCTCATAATGATGATAACAATTACCGTTTGATACAGTATGATAGAAAATAATGGCTGCAAGTACTCTATTTATACTGAATGAGCTACTTACAATGAATGTGAAACTGTTTAAGTTTGCGTAGTTGGATCTCAAACAAGGCTTTTGATTAATTTCCTTTGCTTTCCTTGTTAAAATATAGATTGATTAGTGAGCGGACTGTAGAAGAAAACATCCTAAAGAAAGCAAACCAGAAGAGAATGCTTGGGGACATGGCAATTGAAGGAGGAAACTTTACTACTGCTTTCTTCAAAGAGCAGACCATACAGGAATTGTTTACTGAACCGTCAGGTCTGCAGAGTTTGGCAGATGAGATAACAGAGAATGAAAAAGTGAAAGAGACTGTGACAGAGATGAAGGAAGAAACAAAGGCAGGAGGAGATGCAAAGGAAGAAAACATGGTGCAATCAGAGAAAAACGTAATGGCTCAGTTTGAAAAGGTGAGCATTGGTCAGTCGGAAATTCATCAATTTCTTGTGCACACAGGTTGCTCATTGTGATGATATTAATTACCGTTTGATTCTTCATGATAGTAAACAATGGCTGCAAGTACTCTTGTTTTCTGAGTGAGCAATATTTAATTGGGATGAATCTTGGATGTCGATGATTCCCTATTATCTCCTTATTACAAAAGTTAACAAATGTTTGAACTTCATAGGTTCTGGCAAAGGCTGAAGATGAAACAGATGCCCAGGCAGTAGATCTTGTCAAAGCTGAACAGAAAGCAGAACTGGCCGAGTTTGATGAAAACATTCCATGGGATGAAAGAGAAGCAGAGCTGAAGAAAGAAGAAGAGCTCTCTAAAGTGGAGCAGGAAATTGCCATGCTTGACAAAGAGGTAGTTTAATGATTTTAGATGAAGATTGTATATTGACCCACATAGGTACATGTACACATGTACATTTAATACTTGCAGAACAGATAAAATATACATGTAGGTGAACATTTGTCAAAATATCACCATATTACATTATGTTTCAGCTTACTCCAGTAGAAAGATATGCAGTCAACTTCATGGAGCTTGAAATGGACCCGATGGAGGAGTTGGAAATGGGAGAGGTATAGTAAAAGTACCTTAAACTAACCTCTGTCATATTTTTTGATTGAATATCGTATATGAACAGTTGTACATTAGATGTAATTGTCTGTATTTTAGGAGGACATAGAAAATGTCAAGAAAGACTGGGAACTTGGAAGACTCAAAGCATTGAAAGAAGAAGAAGAAAGAAGAGCAGAGTTGGAGGAAGATGAAATGTTGTACATTTACTACAGGGATGATACATACAACCAGGTGAAGAAAAAGTCCAAGAAAGCCCAGAAGGCAAACAAAACACCAGCCAAAATTGTCACCCCATCCCGTATTACCCCTGCCAGAAATAAGGCTAAGCAATTTAATGATGATGAGTATATTCCATCTTCTGGCAGAGCTATCAAAGTTACACCAAAAGTGACAGCTACAAAAAATACAATCTCTCCAAGGTTAAATGTAGGACGAAATAGAAGGGCTAACAAAGTTTTAGCTAAAGCTGAGGCTGTTGTAGTGGATGAAGAGGGAGATGGTGCTATCAATGTTACCTTTAAGTGTAAACCCAAATCTGCCAAAGCTAACAAAAAAGTTCTAATTGATAACAATGTTACTATTCCAAATGATGAATCAGAACCAGCTGTTGATACTACTCCAAAGTTAGTACTACAGCAAAAGAAAGGTCGAGGGAGACCCTCCATTCTTAAGCAGGGTAAAGGAAAGACCCCAGACAAGGTTGCTGCAATCCCACAAGTTCCTGTGATAATAAGTACTGCCTCACCCCAGAAAACAGTACAATTGTCACAGGTCCAAGTTCAACAGGTTCAGGCTCAAATAGCCAAAGCTCAACAAAACTCTGCCTCTCAACCAACAATAGCCCAGCTCATGTATCAAGCACACCAGCAGCAACCTTCAATCCAGTTTGCAAGGCAGTCTGCCCCTACTTTGCCCCACCAGCTCAATAACACTTCACAGCTGTTGTCCTCATCCCAACTGCAACACCTTAAACAGATCATTTCTAAAGCTGCTCATACAAACCTTGCCAAAATTGCTCCTCCAAAAGCAAACCCAGCGGGTGTTGTCCAGGTTGGTCAGCAAAACTTGGTTCAACAGTTAAATGTCAAGTCTGCTCAAAACCAACCAGCCATTCAGCTGGTTGGACAGACTTCTGTTATTCCTCAACCTCAGACTGTTGCAGTTTCCCCTCAGGTTGCCCAGATTGTCAGTCAAGGTCCAGGACAAACCATTCAGTATATAACACAACCAACTCAGGTTGCAACTCCACGCCCGGTCCAAGCTATACAACAGGTGGTGTCTCGCAATAGTGCAGGACAACCCACCTTACAATTTATCAAGGTCAATGCATCAAATGCACAACAACCAGTGTTGCAGTATGTTAACACTTCTGCAGGCACTGCAGGTCAAGTTAGAATACAGAACACTGCCCCTCAAAATCAGCAGGGGGTGGTGTTCCTACAACTTGGTGGAGGTAAAGCTATTCCAGTGTCCTTAAGTCAGGGATCACCACTGTCTGTTCCAATGGCCAGACTAGTGACAAGCAGGAATGTAGCAAATGGTAACCAGAAAGTTGCTCATGTTGTACAACAGAATGCTATACCCCAACAGTATATTGCAAGAAACATACAGCCCACAAGAATATCTGCACCTATATCAAGGTTCCAAACGGCTGCTGCAGCAAGCCAAAGCAACCCTGCCCCACCAGTATCTAGTCCTCAGCCCTCCAACTTACCCACTGTTGTACAACAGGCGAGGTACAGAATTCCCAAAATCAGTCAGCAGCAGCCCAAAGAAAATCCTGTCCCAAGTACACCGCCCACATCTTCCCCATTTTGGAATCCCAATCTTGTAATACGTACCAGAAAGGCTGCTGCACAGCCTGGTGTTTCTAGGGAAGAAGTAGAGCAGGGAGAGACTAGTGACAATCTTCCTTTTGTGATAGGGAAACCTAACCCACCCACCCCACAGACAAGTACTAATGGTGGGTCTCCCAATCAGTTCATTAGTTTACTAAGAGCTGGAGTGGCCTCTGGCCAGGTGTCCAATGTTGTGATAAAACAAAATGCTATTATATCCTCTCAGGGGATGGTGGTTACAAGTCAAGCTAATAGTGAGACTCAAGTAACAACCAATGGACCTCTGGCTAATCAGGTGAATGATGTCAGCTGAGAATAAGTTGTTAATGGAAAATTGTGCTATTAAATGTGTAGAATGTAAGAACTGGGAAAATGACAGTTTCTGATGTTGTGTATATTATACAACTGAATTTATTTTTGAAACATTTTAAATGTCAATGAAAATGAGTTTAATTTTCATTCAAATGAATGTTGAATTTTTATTTTGAAACTGTGCCAGTGTAAAAGTAATTTAAAAAAAAAAAACTATACAGAAGATCTGAAAAAGATGATTGGGCAAAAGGCTTTACATAGAGTATATTTGAAAAAAAAGTTTTATATGTAATTTTTTTTTCTTCTGAAACCAGGGACTTTTTAAATCTTTGAGTACAAGACAGTTTGTGGAATTTGTGATTTTGTAAGGTAAACTGTGTTTGCCTGTTACGGTATGATCATATTTTGATATTGCACTGTTGATGTACACACATGTATGCATGTATTTTGTTATCAGAAAAGTTGTGACTGTGCATTTCAAATGAAGTTAGAATAAACCAATGATTTGTTACAAAGTGTGTTCATCTCATTTCTGGGGTAGTGGCACACAAGGTCCTGGTGTCAGTCTCATCTTCTGTGGGTGGAGCGAGGTGCCGGCACCATCACCTTCTGTCTGGCCACTTAAGCTTTGCTCCCCCTCAGAAATGAGATGTAGACTTTGTAATGCAAGCAGAAGAGCTCTTCCTCAAACATTGGATCAAGTACTTAACTCAATTTTGAGATAATGAAAAATCACAATTTTTTTTTTTTTTTGAGGAAAAGCTCTCTGCAGCAGATACAAAATCCATGATCATGTGTGTCATTGCTAGCAAACATCAGGCATTGAAAGAAAATTATCTAAGTAAAAATAGGCACAGATAAACATGAAAATATGCTGTATCAGTTGATACATGAAGAAAATCCAAAGTTATATTAAATTGAAATGTAACACAAATATGCTGTAGACTTGCATATTGGCAGCAGAATACTGCCAAGGTACTTTGAGAAAAGGAAGCATTGTGGACTACTAGGAATCCTAGATGTTTTGATATGCAGGCAGACTATCAAGGCACTGAAATTACAAATAAAGTTACTGCGTAACTACCAATTCAAAACTTATTGTTGCTCATTCATAAACCCCTTCCAGGAAAAATTTTCAAAAATGGGGGAGGGGGGGGGGGGAATTGATGCACAATGGAAAGAAATCATTCGGGTTATATAATAAATTGAACTACTAGCATTTCATTTTATTATCTGAATCTGTCCAGATAGAAATGCAGTGGCAGGTCATTTGCACTGAAAATGCTAAGCTTTAGTACCTTACTGGTGTTTACAAGGACAACATTAGATCGATGAATTCATGTTAACTTTTGGATTAGAGATGGTGTGGATTCTAAAATTGAAGTAATGAAGAAAAGGATGTTTCTTTTGACCTGAATTGAAGTAAGATGTCGAGGTTCATTCATTTCAATTTTTGAAGAGACTTTTATAAAGAGGATGTCTTTAGGGAGTTAAGTGAAGCAAGTGTGAATTTTTTGAGTTGTATCGACTGAACTCACTGTATCTGATGTAATATGACCCCTTTATTTCATGAAATCAAATTTATGTGATTCAAAACAAGATATCATTTGGAATTCTTTTGATTTTTAGCTCACCTGAGCCGAAGGCTCAAGTGAGCTTTTCTGATCACATTTTGTCCGTCGTCCGTCCGTCCGTCTGTCTGTCTGTCTGTCCGTCCGTCTGTAAACTTTTCACATTTTTGACTTCTTCTCAAGAACCACTGGGCCAATTTTGACCAAACTTGGTACAAAGCATCCTTGGGTGAAGGGGAATTTAAATTGTTAAAATGAAGGGCCAAGTCCCCTCACAAGGGGAGATAATCAAGAGAAGACAAAAATAGGGTGGGGTCATTAAAAAATCTTCTCGAGAACCACGGGGCCAGTAAAGCTGAAACTTATATGGAAGCATCCTGGGGTAGTGTAGATTCTAAATTGTTCAAATCATGACCCCCGGGGGTAGGGCGGGGCCACAATGTGGAATCAATGTTTTACATAGAAATATATAGGAAAAATCTTTAAAAATCTTCTTCTCAAGAACCACTGGGCCAGAAAAGCTGAAACTTAAGTGGAAGCATCCTGGGATAGTGTAGATTCTAAATTGTAAATATCATGACCCCCGGGGGTAGGGCAGGGCCACAATAGGGAATCCAAGTTTTACATTGAAATATATAGGAAAAATCTTCTTCTCAAGAACCACTGGGCCAGAAAAGCTGAAACTTATGTGGAAGCATCCTGGGGTAGTGTAGATTCTAAATTGTTCAAATCATGACCCCCGGGGGTAGGGCGGGGCCACAATAGGAAATACAAGTTTTACATTGAAATATATAGGAAAAATCTTTAAAAATATTCTTCTCAAGAACCACTGGGCCAGAAAAGCTGAAACTTATGTGGAAGCATCCTCAAGTAGTGTACACTCTAAATTGTTCAAATCATGACCCAGGGAATAGGGCGGGGCCACAATAGGGGGAATCCCAAGTTTTACATTGAAATATATAGGAAAAATCTTTAAAAATCTTCTCAAGAACCACTGGACCAGAAAAACTGAAACTTATGTGGAAGCATCCTGGGGTAGTGTAGATTCTAAATTGTTCAAATCATGGCCCCTGGGGGGAGGTTGGGGCCACAATAGGTATTACAAGGGGGGAGTCTGGTAATGAACAGCATGGCCAAAGTTACTCAGGTGAGCGATGTGGCCCATGGGCCTCTTGTTAAAAAAAAAAAAGATGATTTTCCTAGAAGAAAAAATAATATTCTTTAGAGATTTGGCTCATTCACATTTGCATTGCCACAAGTGGGAGTTACATGAATTCTGCTTGTAACAAAATAAAAGGTAAATTTTGTCGAAAGGTCAAAGGACATCACCATGCAAAGTTCATTTTCAATTTTTTCATGAGTAGACAATATCAGAATTTCCTAAATTTCAAATTTTGAGTTATTCCTTTCATGTTGAAACCAAACTGAATATAACCAATTCACTACTACCAAATTCTGTGAAATAATGATATTTGATACTTGAATTTCAATGTTGCAAGATTTCTATGAGTTGTATAATCTCTTCTTTGTAGGTCTTCCTCTCTGATGTTGATCAGGAGAAAATGCCTGTGAGTACAGTACTGTATATGATACAACATTTTTATCAGCAGTATATACTTTAGTCTGTGCTGTCAAACTGTTAGGATGTAATCAGCACTCTTTTAAGGTTTTGCCAAAGGTCAACATGTCCAAAAAATTATTTTTACAATAGCTCCAAAACTATGTGGTTTATAAAGTTAAAACTTTTACAGTTTATTAATATATCATTGATTAACAGATAGAAAGTATCACTTGATAACAAATACTTAAAAAATATTTATCGACAAAAATTCTTTTTAAAAAATGCATATATTTTTTTTAAAAATACACCTAATTAATTCCGTACTTTTAGTGAAAGCCACCATTGCATATACAATATATGTTTATCAATGAAGGGCAAGTTGGACTTTGATACCTTCTGGAAAGTTGTTTTCCCTGTTTATTTTGTCCAAATGTTAAGATTTGAAACCGAAAGTACATTGCAAATGGCGGATTTTATAGGGGTCTTGTCTTTATACATGTCATGCTTTAAATAACAGCCTTTCAGAGACCATTCACGTCCAACTTGCCCTTCATTGATAAACATATATTATTTCTACATTGATGGTTTTCACTAAAAGTACAGAATTAAGCAGGTGCATTTTTTTTAAAATATGCAAATTTTTTGAGATTTTTTTTCTCAAAAAAAATATATTTTCTTAAATATTTGTTTTCAAGTGATACTTTCTATCTGTTAATCAATAATATATTTATAAACTGTAAAAGTTTTAACTTTATAAACCACATAGTTTTGGAGCTATTGTAAAAATAAATTTTTGGACATCTTGACCTTTGACAAAACCTTAATAGATGTAGTGTTCTTCAGTTAAATTCTAAGGAACTGATGCAACATTTCCAATGCCATCAAATGCTCATATTCTCGATATTGCACTGTTTTTAGCTCACCTGAGCCGAAGGCTCAAGTGAGCTTTTCTGATCACATTTTGTCCGCCGTCCGTCCGTCTGTCCGTCCGTCTGTAAACTTTTCACATTTTTGACTTCTTCTCAAGAACCACTGGGCCAATTTTGACCAAACTTGGTACAAAGCATCCTTGGGTGAAGGGGAATTCAAATTGTAAAAATGAAGGGCCAAGTCCCCTCACAAGGGGAGATGATCAAGAGAAGACAAAAATAGGGTGGGGTCATTAAAAAATCTTCTTCTCAAGAACCACAGGGCCAGTAAAGCTGAAACTTATATGGAAGCATCCTGGGGTAGTGTAGATTCTAAATTGTTCAAATCATGACCCCCGGGGGTAGGGTGGGGCCACAATGTGGAATCAATGTTTTACATAGAAATATATAGGAAAAATCTTTAAAAATCTTCTTCTCAAGAACCACTGGGCCAGAAAAGCTGAAACTTAAGTGGAAGCATCCTGGGGTAGTGTAGATTTTAAATTGTTCAAATCATGACCCCCGGGGGTAGGGCGGGGCCACAAGAGGGAGTCCAAGTTGTACATTGAAATTAATAAGAAAAATCTTTAAAAATCTTCTTCTCAAGAACCACTGGGCCAGAAAAGCTGAAACTTAAGTGGAAGCATCCTGGGGTAGTGTAGATTTTAAATTGTTCAAATCATGACCCCCGGGGGTAGGGCGGGGCCACAAGAGGGAGTCCAAGTTGTACATTGAAATTAATAAGAAAAATCTTTAAAAATCTTCTTCTCAAGAACCACTCGGCCAGAAAAGCTGAAACTTATATGGAAGCATCCTGGGGTAGTGTAGAATCTGAATTGTCCAAATCATATACCCCGGGGGTAGGACGGGGCCACAGTAGGGAATCCAAGTTTTACATTGAAATATATAGGAAAAATCTTAAAAAATCTTCTTCTCAAGAACCACTGGGCCAGAAAAGCTGAAACTCAAATGGAAGCTTCCTGGGGGTAGTGTAGATTCTAAATTGTTCAAATCATGACCCCCGGGGGTAGGGCGGGGCCACAATAGGTATATTAAAAGGGGGAAATCTGGTAAAGAACAGCATGGCCAAAGTTACTCAGGTGAGCGATGTGGCCCATGGGCCTCTTGTTACTAGTTAATATGACAGGAATTTGGGAACATCACTGCATACTGAAACCAAAATTATCATTTAAATTGTATTAACAGAAAAAAATATTTGTGTGTTCATGTTGATTTAGTGTACATTGGGGTTAAAAACATACTTATTTTGACAGCTGTGGGCTCCTCCTACCCCGCCTCATGATGACAATGACATCTACTTGGATCAAAGTCTTTTGTTCCTGTATGAACCTAATGTGATGCCAGAGACCCAGCTTCCACCTGTGTACATCAAGAAGGAGCACAAGAAACCCAAGATTGAATCCATCACAAGTAAGACAAATGTTATATAACTTGGCATTCCCAAAAATATCAAACGGTACACAGTAATCAAATTTTTATTTTGAAAGAATTTATTATCAGTATAAATATTCAACTGATATGGAACTTTAGTACATGTAGGAGTTAGTTGAAATGAAAATGAATTGCATTTCAGCTCGCCAGAAGAAACAGCGAAAAGAGGAGCAAACTCGAGTGCCTCGGTCATTGTTTGATCGTCCTTCAGCGCAGTTGTTGAAGATTCGAAGGGAGCACAAACAAAAGAGTGGCCTTCTGAAGCCTTTCAGGCCTGTTCCTCCACCCATTGTCAAACCTAATGTAGATACTTCAGATCACCCAGAATGGCTCATCCATGAGGACTGGGCTCTCTTACAGGTAATATGTTATTGTAATAATATGGCATTAAGAAGTGGTGTACAGTTTTACTTGTTTCAACCAAATTAGCTACCTGTCAAGAATCTATTTATTTTGAACAACATATCACCTGACATTAATGTAGGTGCATTTCTTTGTACAATAACACAGATTGTCTGTTTTTAGCTCTACTGGTCAGAGACCAGAAGAGCTTATGCGATAGTAATGTGTCAGTCGTCCGTCCATCTGTCTGTCTGTCTGTCTGTCTGTCTGTCCGTCCGTCTGTAAACAATTTTTCAAAATGCTACTCCTCCTACAGTGTTGGTCTGATTTCAGTATAACTTGGCACACAAGTAGACTACACTAAGATACATAATTCTGTATATCGGTTTTTGATTTCAATGAACGGTGTTGCCATGGTTATTAAAAATAGAAATTTCTGTGAAAAACATTCAAAATGCTACTCCTCCTACAGTTTTGATCTGATTTCAATATAACTTGGCGCACAAGTAGACTAATACTTTCAAAATGCTACTCCTCCTACAGTTTTGGTCTGATTTCAATATAACTTGGCACACAAGTAGACTATATTAAGATACATAATTCTGTATATCGGTTTTTGATTTCGATGAACGGTGTTGCCATGGTTACTAAAAATAGAAATTTCTGTGAAAAACATTCAAAATGCTACTCCTCCTACAGTTTTGATCTGATTTCAATATAACTTGGCGCACAAGTAGACTAATACTTTCAAAATGCTACTCCTCCTACAGTTTTGATCTGATTTCAGTATAACTTGGCACACAAGTAGACTATACTAAGATGCTTAATTCTGTGTATCGGTTTTTGATTTCGATGAACGATGTTGCCATGGTTACTAAAAATAGAAATTTCTGTGAAATAATTTCAAAATGCTACTCCTCCTACAGTTTTTATCTGATTTCAATATTACTTGGCAATCAAGTAGACTATAATAAGATACATAATTCTGTGTATCGGTTTTTGATTTCAATGAACGGTGTTGCCATGGTTACTAAAAATAGAAATTTCTGTGAAATACTTTCAAAATGCTACTCCTCTTACAGTTTTGGTCTGATTTCAGTATAACTTGGCAAACAAGTAGACTACACTAAGATACATAATTCTTTATATTGATTTTCTGATTTCGATGAACATTGTTGCCATGGTTACTAAAAATAGAAATTTCCTTGAAATACCTTCAAAATGCTACTCCTCCTACAGTTTTGGTCTAATTTTAGTATAACTTAGCACACAATTAGACTACACTAAGATACATAATTCTCTGTACCAGTTTTGGGTTTACATAATTCTCTGTACCAGTTTTGGGTTTCAATGAACGGTGTTGCCATGGTTACTAAAAGTAGAAATTTTCTTGAAATACTTTCAAAACGCTACTCCTCCTACACTTTTTGTCTGATTTCAGTATAATGTGGCATACAAGTAGACTACAGAGATACATAATTGGTGTTATTGTTTTTTGATTTTGTTGAATGATGTTGCCATGGTTACTTAAATCAAAATTTCTGTAAAATTGTTTTAAAAGGCTACTCCTCCTACAGTTTTAGTCTGATATAATAATAAATCTTGCCACAAAAGAGACTAAACCAAGGATCATTATTCTGTTTATTGCTGTTGCAAAGTTTCAAGTCAAAGTGCTACTTTTATCTTCCTTTATAAATACAACCAGTAGAGCTACAGTCTCGTCAGAGACTTCTGGTTGTAATATGCAAGTAGAGTTCAGAGAATTTCCCAAGATGCAAGTGCTTATGGAATGATGGCTACATTAAATACTTTTGGGGGTTTTTTTGTTTTTTTTTTGTAGGCTGTGCAAAGCTTGTTTGATGTTCCTTTAAACTTGCTGGTTGTGTCTCCTGCACATCACCCAAACTGGGATCTGGTGGCTGATGTTGTCAACACATGCAGTCGTGTGTACAGGTCAGCCAAGCAGTGTAAGAATAGATATGAGAATGTCATCATTCCAAGGGAAGAGGGCAGAATTCTTTATGATATCAACCCCAGAAAACAGAGCAAAAAAACAAAGGGGATATACAAAGTAAGGCTGGAGTACTTTGGTCATGAATGAAATCTACATGTATTTGTTTTCTGTATTTCTGTATACATGTGCCTTGGATGTTTTAATAAGATTGAGAGTCTTGATGCTAGAATTAAATATCGCTTATTATATGGACTTTTGTAAGAACAGTATATGAAGTACAGTGTAACAGTGTATGAAGTATATGTATTTACAATTTTGTAGACAAAGAACAATCGACCAATGAGAACAAGTCAGTTGTATATCCAAGACAACAATCAGGCTGTTACCATGTTGTATTCCTTCCGTTTTGAGTCGGCTAAACAGATTGCAGGAAAGAGGCCCCCACCCCTGAAGCAAACTCTGGTTAATCCCACCCTGAAAAATCCCAAGCATGCTACAGTGTTGTCAGAGAATAATATTAACTATGACCAGCCCTTAAATCCTATGAGTGTGGCCGAAATTCGAGCTCAGAGGATACAGAGGGAGAAAAAACAAAACCAGGCCGCTGCTGTAAGTCTCTTATTGAAGTAGATTCCCTTTCTGTGATCCATAACTGTATTTTAATTCTCCACTTAAGCAATTCACATGAAACACTGAAATTCCTTTATGAAAGCAGTAATGTTAGTTATGTATTATTTTTATACTGGGTTATCAGTACATAAAGAAATTTTGCTGTATAAACGTTTGAATGTGTTGTTTACAAAAAAATAACTTATAAGAGAAATTGCCGATTTTTTTAAAAAAAAAATTATAGTCATTTACCTTTTCTGCTTATGAGGTTGATGCTTCAATGATCTTGTAAAGTTCCAGTTCACCTTTGATGCAATACAAACATAAAACTAAATGTAATGAAAGAAATGGCCATAGTTTTTAAGAAAATCATATGTAATGTGTTCCAATAAACACTCATATTAGATTTCTTTTATATATATATATATATATATATATATATATATATATATATATATATATATATATATATATATATATATATATATATATATATATACACTCATGTATATACTGATCACCTTGTGCAAGTACATGTAAATAATTTTGTTATTGGTGAATATCCTAATAATTTGCGATGACTTTTAACCGCAAAGGATTTTATTTTGGTATTCTAGCAAGCCACGGCAGACCAGCAATTAGCAGCGCAGAGATCTGTTGTTCAAACAGCTACCACAACGGGTACCACAGTGGTACAGCAGACCACCACCTCAGTGGCAGTGGCTCCAGTGGCGCAACCCATTCAAACAGCAGTTGTCTCCTCAGCTGTTCTGGTAGGAGTTCCTTTAGTGCAACTGATGCACTATATACATGTACTTTTTTGCTTGTTCAGAATTGGGAAATTTCCCTGTAAGTCTCGTTAATTCTTAATTCATTTAAAATATTGAGTTGAAGAAGTGGAATGAATCTTGCATTTAAATTTCTAAGTTGAAATCCAGCTAGCTGTTGATAAAATGTACAGATGTTGATAATTAGAATGCTATAATACTGATGAAAGACATACAGTGCTATGACTTACTGCAGCAGACTGGAGTGGTACAGAAGGCAGCAGCTGTAGGACAGGTGGCAGTGACTAGGACAGCCACAGGAAACATTGTGGTCAACACTCAGGGAGGGGTCCCCACTAATTTTGCTGCCATCAACAGAAGGATGAGTCAACAGGCCACTGTAGCTTCCATAGCTCAACCGGCCACTGTGGTTAGTTAAACTCAAGATACTGTTTATATGCCGCTAAAGAAAAGAATAAGAAATGTTTAATGCTAAAAGTCTGTTTTCTGAGGTACATATTTGCTTTGATTTACAGACAGTTGCTGGGGCAATTACACCAGCTAACATCAGGGCCCAGAGAACAGCAGCTCCTCTCACAATACAAGAGATAACAGCCATAGCCTCCCAACCTCAGACACAGGTCACGACCTCCATAGCAACAGGTCCCCAGGTGGCCAGGACACAGCTACAAACCACGGTGACTGGAGCACAGCTTGCCACAGTTCAGAGGACTAATACAGGTTAATATAAAGAACACCAGATAAATACATGTATGTACATGTATTTAAAAAGTGTTGTTCAGGGCAGATTTCTTATTTAAATGTTGTATAGAAGGATGAGTATTACAGAAAATGACTTGAAATGATTTATAAGTGTAGAAGATAAATTCAAAGTCAGGTATAGTTTGTTTGTATTCTGTTGCACAGGCCAGCAATTAACACAGCAAACGGTGACGAAAAACTTGACTCCTCAACAGTTGTTACAGCTGCAGCAGAGACAGCAAAATCTGATTAATCAGCAGAAAATGCAGCAACAACAGGTGCAACAACAGCAGCAACTCCGGATGCAGAAACTTAATCTAACGGTTAGTTAATCGAAAAAAGTTATTGATTTTAACTCAGGCACACTATTTCATGTATCCTTCCTTAAAACTTCTTAGTCAGATGCTGTAGACGTACAGTACCTTGTTTTTGCTGGGGGCTATTCCAGGAAAAATTGTATGGGGGGGGGGGGGTTGGAAGGCACTTTTATTTTTACCCCACCACCCATACATTTTTGATTACCTTCTACCCCACCCCCCATCAATTTAAAAATTGCTTTTGATACAACCACCCATCTAAATTTAAAAAAAAATGTGTCACATATATATACTCCGTAGTCATGCTCTAAAACGTTCATTATCAGATACGTTTTTTTCTACTTTCGTTTTAAAATAAAACGATCTTTCTGATTGTTTCTAATATCATTTAATTTACCAATGTAATCATGTTTGATTAAACCGGTGAAAAGAAACTGGACCAGGGAGTTCAAAGCACAACGAATCCGTTTTCCAATCTCCCACTGTCATTGCAGTCTCATTGCACATGCTTTTATAGTTATCTGCCCTTGTTTCCGTTTTGTTCGATTCTACTTTCACTTTCAATGTAAACACACTTTACAACTGTTTAGGACGAAAATATCAGTATTTACCGATTTATACAAAATGAGAGGAAAGAAGTAATTTGCAATTGATTATTTGTGAGGGTAAATACAACCACCCATCTAAAAATATATCGAGTGAGGACAACCACCCATACAAATTTAATATGCTCCAGACCCACTACCCATACAAAAATATATTAAGTGCCGTCCAACCCTCCCGTACATTTTTTCCTGGAATAGCCCTGGGTCAAATTTTATTTTAATTTTAAGATCCTAAAGAAAAAAATCATACAAATAAACAATTTTTGTAGTTCATGTATGTTCCTTCTGGTATGTTCTATTATTCTTGTGTGTTTTTTTTTTTTTTTTTTTTTTTTTTTTGGATTTTAAACAAAAAATTGTATTCTTTACTCTTAAATTATTTTGATGTTCAAAATACTTGCACACAAAATAATAGTCCCTGTTGTAATTCTTTTGTCCTATGTTATCTTGACAAAAATAAATGCAGTAACAGCGTGGAATACCTTTGGGTCATTAACCTGTTTGCAGTCAAATGGTGTACAGTGTATGTGCATTAAAAAAAATGATAATTCTGAATTAAGTTTTGAGGATTCATATGCTTTTCATTAAGAAGTATTTTGAAGCTCCATTAATTATTAAGACCAGTACAGTTTGTTTACAGTCACTGACAAGCTGTCTGTTGTATATAAATTTTGTTAACGACTTGAAGTACACTGGTACAAAATTCTATGTATATCCTTTGACTGCATACTTCATATGTATTATGTGGGAAAAGTATGTACAGAAATTCATTACATTTATTTCCACATTAACTATTTTCAGCAACAACAGTTAAAGCAGCTTCAACAGCAGGGTAGGGCCCAGAAAACTGTGATTGCTCAGCAGCTTGTGACGGGTGTTGGCCAGGTACAATTTTATTAGCTTTTGGCAGTGGTTCCATATTGGTTAAGTTTCATTTGAAAGAATAGTTGGCTTAGTACAGAAAATTGTAAATGTATGAGACATTATTTCCTAAAGCATTCAAGGAGAATGGAAAGAAAAAACTGGCCCCAGCATTATTTCTTAATAAATAAATATCAGAAATGACCTATTGGGACAAAAAACAGCACAAAAAAATATGTTTTAACTAAATGTAGTTGCATGTATGATTATAATACAAGAAAAACTGTAAAAAATATTTCATGTTCAGTTATAAACAGTATATGCTTCATTCTACAGCTGACAGCAGCACAGCTGATTCCTCAAGCTCAAGTGCAGCATATAACGCAATCAGCAACAGTGGCGGGGACTTCTGGAACACTGGTTAAGACTGTGTCAGCCCCGGGGATCCCAGTCAGCACTGTCAACATTAATGTCAGTGTGCCACAACAGAAAGGCGTAGTGGGTAAGTGATCATTTAGACACAGCATGTCAACATTAATGTCGGTGTTCCACAACAGAAAGGCGTAGTGGGTAAGTGATCATTTAGACACAGCATGTCAACATTAATGTCAGTGTGCCACAACAGAAAGGCGTAGTGGGTAAGTGATCATTTAGACACAGCATGTGAACATTAATGTCAGTGTGCCACAACAGAAAGGAGTAGTCGGTAAGTGATCATTTAGACACAGCATAAAAAAACATTCAGGCATTTAAATGTAATGCTTGTGGCACAGAGTTTTTTAACAAATATATAAAATGAAATTTTGTTGCATTTACTTTATGTAAAGTGTTTCATTTAGTGCAGCATTTATGTTGTCTACTATGTATGTGACCTAAACAAAAGGATCAATCTGTCATTCATTTGTTTGTCTATCCATTCAGATGGCAGTTTGGGTTTTCATCTTCCCTTTTTTTCCCTTCCATTTTACAATGTTTTGAAGAACAAACATTAAACAGAGAATATTTTTTTGTTGTTGTATTTTTAATGCTGTTAACAGGCAACAATCAGCAACTATAAAGGAGTATTAGTCAACATATAGGAGCACATTTATCCAATCTTTTGTACAATATTTACATAACAAAGCACATTTACATCACAGGGGCATTCACAAGTTGAATAGAAGCACTTTTTCAGTCTACAATTTTGTAATGTTTGTCTTTTCAGTCTCTCATTTTTGATAACTTTTCATACATCACTGGGTTTTTCACTTAATTTCACAAAGAAAGTTCACTGAAGCAGTTGAAGGCAATCTGACGTTTCTTTTTGGCAATCTCTGTCAGGGTGCGTGTGTTGTTGGAGCGGTTCCTCTTGTTTCCAAACCACTTCTTCACCTGCTCTGCTGTCATTCCTCCCTGAATTGCGATCAGCTCCACTGTGATGGAATCTGGATAGGGATGATCCATGTTCTTGTCGTACCAGTCCTCCATGACCTGGATGGCTTTCTTGGTGAAGCTAGCTCGCTGTTTTCGGATGGGTTGGATGGACTTTGGTTTCTGGTTCTTTGTCTCCTCCAGAAGGCACAGGCTTTGTTCCACTCGGTTCAACATCTGGTTGAGTTGGTTGTCATACTGTTGATTCAGCACCATTGCATGGTCAGATGGGCATGGAGGTTTGGTCTGGTGAAGGCGCTCCGTTTCAATGATGGCTGACTGGTACATGTAAAACTGGCACAACTGTTTGATGTCTTCAGGGTAGTCTATGCGTAGAGCCTCAAATCTTCGACGGATATCCTGCTCCCGCTGGAAAAGGAAGGTGTTGACATGTGGTTGGTATGCCTCTTTGTTGACTTGGGCATATTCCTCGAATGGATAAGTAACTTGAGGGAAAGCTGTAGGCTGTGGGGCAGGCTCTCTCACTAAGTCACTAAGTGAAACACTGAATCGACACAACTCCTCATGAAAGTCTGAAGAAGGAATACCCACTGCACTTAATTCACATGATGACTTTGATGAATCACTGAAGCAACAGTCGCTCAAAGGTCTGGATTCTGCAGGATGAATTTCCTCACTGTATGCATCAAGACAAGCTAGGTCACTGAACTCGAGAGCACGGGATAACACATCCTTTGAATCAGGTGAAGCTGACTTGTCACTGTAGTCCACATCACAAGATGAACTGGACGCAGAAGAGTTCACATCTGGAGAGGTCACTGTGGAACACACATCCTGAAAATTAAATACTTGTACCTCTGCAGACTGTGTGAAGTTGGAGGAACACTGGGTGGAATTGTCCAGGAAATCCATGGGTCCATCACGAAGTGGATCAAAAACTTCCTGCAGGCTGTCCAAATCATCTTCAGAATGTGGCAGAATCTCTGAGAAACTGTCATTAAAACTAAGCTCCAGGAAATCACTGATATCCAGGGAGTGGGGTTTGATGGAGGGCAGCTGGAGAATGGATGAAGAGGTGGGCTTCTGATTGGCATCTGTTGGTTGGGCAAGCTGAATACTCAACTCCATTGTTGAACTTCTTGAATTCTTTTTGTGATGAATTGGCTTGTTAATCAGGCAAAGCTGGATAATTTCCTTAACTGTTAACCTGGGTATTTATAGGAAGAGTGGGGTTTGATTGTCTTCTGATTGGATTGAAATTGGGATTATTCAGTTGTAATTATTATTTCTCTTTTCTGATTGGTTGTCTTAAGCACTTGTTAAATTTTAATTGATTTGATTGGTTCATGCAAGCTGATTTCTTTTCAGTATTAATCATTGCCATGATGAACAGTAGATTGTCAATGATAATTTGATATCATGGCTTGGGTAGCTGGTCACACTATGAGCTGTTTGGCATACTGTATTGGTTGATAATTAGGGTCATTAAAGGAATTCTGCAATTCAGCCTAGGTGAACTATTGTCATGTGTATCATTTATTTACATTTCTGTAATTAGGAAATAAAAAGGGGAAGAAAATAAATAAGAACTTTTACAACATGCATCAAATTCCTTCGAAGGCAAAGTTCTAAAACAAAACTGTATATCTTTTCCCTTCAAGTTAAACTAAGCAAACTAATTATTAATCTTGGTTTAACAAGATTTTTTTTAACAAGATTGTGAAGGATAATTAAAAACAGTTGATCAGTTATTTCTGTTGGTGATTTTTAATATAAAGATTTTACAAGAGTTAACCAAAAATAAATAATGCATCAATTAAAATGACATGAACTTTTTGAAATTTGTTTGTGCAGAAGTTAACAAATTATCTTTCCAAACAACTGTTTGAAGAAACAAAAGATCATATTCCATTAAATTTCTATTTTAAGTAAATTTTTATAAAACATGTATTTTGATCCCCTCCCATTTCAAAAAGGACAGTACAAAATAAATACTTCATACATTTTCATCATCCCCTTTCCATGCTTATTTGTATGTATGTGAGTTTGTTTGTGTATGTATTTGGGTACAAGTGTTTGCTTTGTATAAAACTTGTTTGTTTCTGCAAGAGAAATAAATAATAATTGAATAGATTTTGGCGGCAATAAACTGTGCTTCTGTGTAATTATAAATTGCTATGTTTCTTCATTTGTCAAGAAGAACTTTTATAACACTTGCTACCATTTTATTAGAAAATCAGATATTTTTTTCATAAATGTGTTAAATGAAAAAGGTATATAAGTTGTTGAATGTTTGAAGTGAAATTCTTTTTCTTAAAGTATCCATTTAGCACAAGGGATAAATTGTTTACATAATTATGTATAACCTAATTTCCTGATGAGTGATATTGACTTGTGTAAACAAGTAATTATTGTGAATGTTATTTTAAAGAATTGATTAAATAATAATTGAGGAATGTTTCACAATTTTTTTCTCAGGTAAATCTGCCACTGTAAGCCAGATTCCACAAGCAAAAATTCAACATATCCAACAGATTCAGCAGCAAATGAGGCATCAACTTAAGCAACCACAGAAAATCACATGTAAGTGTTTGACTGCCATATGTTGCGGCGAATTACAAAATACCTGTAGAGTTTTCAGTAACTTGCTAGATAGCTCAATAGGTTATATAATTTGGTCTAACAAGTATCACATTAGGTATGAATCTAGGTCACAAGGTTACTCAGGTGTATCATTAGATTTTACAGGTAAATGTGAGTTGATTTTAATTTTGTATGTAGCCACATTTATGTGCCAAGGTGTTCTGCTGTAAATAAATGCAATATTTTTCTTTAATTGCAAATATATTTTCAGTAAAATTGTATGCTAGCTCTTTTACAAATCTTATAAATCTTCATAAGTCTTCAAAAGTCAAATTAGAGGGTAAAATTTTTCTTTTGGACTAAAGTGTCATTCTTGCCAATAAACAATAACACCAACACCCTGTGCATTAGATTAAACTGCTTAACATTGCTCAATCCAGCATCCGAATATGTCCAAAACTGTGAATACACTACTTGTACTCTTCAAAATCTCATCACCCATGATAATCTGGTTAGATTTTATAATCTTGTTAGATTAATTAAGATTTTTAGAAAAGTATATGAAAACTAAAAACAATGGGAAATATGGGGTGATGTTGAGAATGAAGGGATCAAACTATGCTTATGCAAGCAGTTGCAAATTGGAACTCTTGGGACCCATTTTATAAAAGAACTTACAACTAAATCTAAAAAAAAATGTGACATAGTTCTTAACTCTAATCATTGAATAAAATTACCTTACTAATTTTTTCATATAATTAAAGAATAAAATTACAATTAAATCCATGTAAAGAATAAAATCAATTGCAAAAACACTTAGTCAGAAGGTCTTCTGTAAAACAAGCCCTTAAATGAAATTTCAGATTTTCGAAAAGAAAAAAGAAATATGCTGGGTGTAGAGATATTGATCATAAATTAATGCCTACAAATTAAATGTGTTATTTATTAATATATTATTATACATGTATTATATTTATATATTTATTTATAATCCATAAGATGAGAGAAAATTGGAGTGGGGAGCTAACTTCCAAACTTTGTAAAACATGTAGTACCTTTTGCGAGAATGGAAGGGAGGTTGACATTCATTAATGCTGCAAATTTACTGATAAAATATTTGATATTAAAGGAAAATATTGCATTTATTTACAATGGAACATCTTGGCACATACATGTGGCTACATACAACATTGAAATCAACTCACATTTACCTGTAAAATTTAATGAAACACCTGAGTAATCTCGTGACCTAGATTCAAACCTAATGTGATACTTGTTAGACCAAACTGTATACCCTATTGAGCTATCCAGCAAGTTATTGAAAACTAACATTAAAAAAAAAATAGAATACTGGTAATGTATTAAATATGATGACTACCTATTTTGATATATTTCTCAATAGAATGTATAGAGAGGTCCTGGGCATTTACAGAACCATATTTACTTGCCCAGGACTACTTTTGTGTTTGTAACATCACAATATAATTGCCGTCCTGTCCTAATGACATCTAGTGCTGTGTGATATTACTGGTTAACCGGATGAATCCCAATTTTGTTGTTCACAATTTGTATCACGTTATTTTTTGTGAGTACCGGTTTGGGGTCAATATTCTATGTATTGTTACAAAAAGAGTTACTTGCTCTTGTTCAAGTAAAATATGGCAGCAAATGATGCAGAATTGATTAGAAACAAAAAGAGAATAGCTGCTACAAGAAAACCACTTCAAGTTAAAGCTGTATCTGACTATTGCAACAAGACTATTAAATATGGCCCAACAAACTCAGCTTGCCACATAAGCCGGCACATCGCAGCCAAGCAATGTCGATATAAATTTTAGGACACATGATATTTACATTTGTGTTTTCATAAAAGAGGGTGAAAAACAAAAAATGAATATGAATTTAACATTTCAATATATTGTAATACGATTTTTCAGCTCTGATACCTATCACTAATGATATTACATATGTACATTTGATATCAAATATCAGTAGAAATGGCAGTAACTAATTTAAAGATTTTTATGACCAGAAATTAAGAGATATCCCATTCATATGAATCGGAAAAAATGTATTGGTACATAAAAATTAAAATACATGTATGTAATAAAAAGGTTATTGACTGAATATTGAGAAATAATCTTGCCCTCGGACTTTGTGCCGGTGTGGACCTCGCAAACTTGGTCTGCGCAAAGACTGGGTAGGCATATTTCTCAATATTCAGCCAATATTCTATAAATATTATTTATTTTGCTTTACAGCTGTAGGTCAACAAGTTGCAAAAGGACAGAGTTTCCCTCTGAATGCTGTCCAAATCATCCAGCAGCCCGCTTCAGGTGCAACAGGACGACATCTTACCTATTCTTTACAACAATTCATGCAGCAAAACAAAGGTTCTGGCATGATCATTACATCTCAACCTATCATCACGACAGTAACGCAAAGTCAACAGCCCACTGGACAGATGGTGACCAAGGTACTTCCTACCTCAGCAGTTCCCACAACCCACCTCCAGACCTTGTCTGCTACACCTATCTCTGTAACTCATGTGTCAGCTGTACAAGCCTCAAATGTGACAGCTCAGCCAGTTGCCACCTCGATCAGTCTCACAGGAGTAGGTGGTCAAGCAGGTAAACCACTGACGGTCACTACTGTAGCTCAAGATGCCAGCACAGGCACAACCATACAAGTACAGCCAGCAACAGCAGCAACTCAACAAGGATCACAGACCACAACACAACAGTTAATACCACAGACTCAGGTTGTCCAGCAGGTGCCTGTAGCATCTCACACGCCACAGAAAATTCTTACGCAGACGGCCCACCAAATACAGGTCACTCCTGGGTCCATTCAGCAAGTGCAGGCTGGCAACGTAGCTCAAGCTGTGTCTGCTACTCCTACAGCAGTGACATTAACCATAACTCCGGCTGCTCAGTCTGTCCCCAGCACTGGCACACTGATCCAGCAGCCGGTGGTGGTGACACAGGCTGTCCAGGCCACATCACAGCCCAGCACGGTCACTTCTCAGGCAGCACTAGCAGCAGCTGCAGCCCTACCTTCCACAACGGTGACCATAGCTTCTGCTGTCCAGTCTTCCACTCAATCACAGCAGACAACACCAGGGTCTGCCAAACCAGCGGCTCCTTACGCCATGAGAACCAGAAACCATCCCAAAACATGAATAACATTTAGACCCAAAGGTGTGTATAAAACATAACATCATTGTTGTTACACTGCCATTCACCTTATGGACTCAAGTTGGACAGGTTGTGCTCTATTGATCATGCAGTTTATTGTAAAATAATCATGAAAATTTAATGTGGTCTTTGAAGTATATCAGATTTCAATGCAGGGTTTTCTACTGTAAAATAAGCAATGTTTTATATCATTTTCACCGTGTGTATATATACACATATTTTGTACAAAGAAAAAAGGTTGCTTTGTAGATAAATATGTATTTAATGTAAAAACTAAAATTTTTAATAGGGGTTATTTCAAATTGATATTTGCATAAGAAACCTTGCAGATGTACATGGATAAGGTTAAGTCAAGATTACTGTACAGGCTACTCTTTTGACTTGGTATTTGTGTCATGTAATTTCTTTTTTATACAAAAATGTTTGTATAAATACCTTAGATATACCTAAAAAATAAAAATTGAAACTTGAAGAAACATTTGTGTTTGTATCTTTGCTCAGATTGGAGAATCTCAGGCCTGTAGCAATGGATAAAGGAATATTTACTATAGCAAAATCAAAATACTATACTCAGGAAAGCCCCCCCCCCCCCCTCCATTCTATGGGCCTGAATCTGCTTAGAATAGTAGTACAAATAATTACCCATCTTTATAATGGCTCTTTATTATATTCCGGACATTTATTGCCTAGAATATTAACATTTTATTTGCTGATTAGAAGGGAAATGCCTATACTGTAGTGTGTGTATTCTGAAAGTAATATTTTTTATTTAAAACTGAATGGTATCTCATGACCAAATTATTGATGAGATTAGGAACATTCTAGGCACTTCATAGGTACAAAAGAGGTTAAGTTTATAAACATACCCAACCCCACCCACACAGGCTTTTTTGTGCTTGGTGACTTGCTTTTTTTTTTTAAAGCTCGCATGTGAGAACAGAGAGCTCAAGGGCGCTTTTCTGATCACATTTTATCTGCATCCATCTGTAAACCTTTTACATTTTCGACTTCTGCTGAAGAACCACTGGACCAATTTCAACCATACTTGCCACAAAGCATTGTTGGGTGAAGGGGATTCAAATAAAAGGCCACAATCTCTTCAAAGGGGAGATAATTAATTTAATAAAATCTTCATTTCAAGAGCAAGTTATGTTACTATGGAAGCATCCTCCGGTAGTGTAGATTCAAATTTGTTCAAATCATGGCTTGGGGGGGGGGGATTACAGGAGATCAGAGTTTTATATATGAATACATAGGGATTTTTTTTTTCAGTCTGAAACAGCAAAGCCATGATGAGTCATATTAATATGGAAGCATCCTCAGATAATGGTCTTGCCATATTTGAGAAAATTTTTAAATATATAATAATACATTTAAAATCTCAAATATAGCAGGGCAATGATTAGTGATATAAATTTGCAGACATCCTGAGGCAGTATTGTCAGGTCATATAGATTCAAGTTTAGTTTTTGACTCCTGCAGGTTTGATGGAGGTACATGAATAAAAGAAAAAAAATCTTTAAAAAAACATTTTCTTGTAAAGAACAACATGGTCATATTTTAATATGCAAGCATCCTCAGATAGTGTAGATTCAAGTTTGTTCAAATAAGGGCCCCCTGGGGTTAGGGTGGGGCAAATGATCTGAAGAAAAGACTCGTGTGAACGTGGCCCATGGGCCTCTAGTTTTCTTAATTTGGAAGGTGACCTCTGTTTTATTTTTTTTTTTGGGGGGGGGGGGGGAGGAGGGAGGCTGGTATGCGTATTCTACCTCTGCAAGGATTTTGACTGTTTAGATATTGTTTAACAGTGAGAGCCACTTGTATTTATATATACAAATGTCCTTCTCTCAGTCTGCAACAATAACAGGGAGTAGCTAAGAGCTGATTAGAAAATACTTGATACTTTGCTCGTAAGAGTTTGGCAAAATGTGTAAAACACATGGCCTTCTCTATACTGTAAATCCCATATACATATATAGATAAACTAAGAGAAATCTGGATGAGTTCTTGTAAAATTTATTAAATAAAGTACAAAACTATAAATTGTAAATTCAACATTTAAAAAATTCAAAAATTAATGTAAAATGTATAAAGTGATTAAAAAATGTATAAAATTATATATATATATATATAAAATATAATGAGATCTTTTAAGAGACTATTATCTTTTTCAACAGGATTGTCCCAGCCAGTCTTGCGCAATTGACTTGGGGTATCCGGGAACGATTCTTTGATTAGAAGTGTCAAAAATGGAATACCTGGAAAAATAAATGATCAAATAAATACATTTAAAGCAGAGTTGAATATGACAATAATAAAAATAGACGCTTTTATCTCGTTGTTCACTCTCCCCTTAAATTTAATTTCATTTGTTGATTAGGCAAATATCATACGTAATTGTGCCTTTTTATACTAGTATTTGCAAACATTTTTCGGTATTTAAACTTGCTTTATATGTTTTGAACCAAGATCGACAGCACCAAGTGAACTTACTTGTATCCCTTGAAGAGTAGTAAATTATTATCTTCCAGCTGCATGGCAGCCTCTGTATTTAATGGCATTCCTCCCCAGAATGTTTTAACTGACAAAGGAAAACCAGGTACCAGTTCTAGTGTCTTGTAATTCAGTTCGTAGAAGTTTTCACCCTGGAAATGTAAATGCACATGCTGAGAAGTCTTTTCTTAAACATGAAAAAATTAATAAATTTATGTTTAAAAAAATTAGTTTGGATCAACGTCTGACTTACCTGAAATAGGTACACCTGATGCGTGTAACTCCCGGACCTTCTTATGGCAATGGCTGATTGCGCCTTAACAGATATGTTGAATCTCTCTTCCAGTGTAAAACCTTTGAAACTCCAACCCTTGTTTCCTTTTAATGAAGAATGGTTATTATTTTTTAAAGTTAATCCAAATCAAATTGTGCGCTAAAAAGTTTTCACTTTTTGGTTATATGAATTTGAATTTTTTCCCTACCACTGTCTTGTAAATTAATTTATAAAGTACCTTTGAGAATCACGGTTTGGTTTGTCGAACTGATGTGAAAGGCTGATCCCACGTTTTTTGCTGGGGCTCCCGGAAAAACACTTCGAATGGGAAGAGGATATCCCGGAAGTACACCATTAGGTCCCATTTTGTAAACACTTGCCCTCCGGAAAAAATACACGTATCCATCTGGACCTATGATTAAAATTCCATAGAAAGTTCCATCATCAAGAGAAAAAAAAAGCATTTGATAGACGAAAAATGATGAATTTGTATTTTCAATAAGAAATACGAAAAAGCAGGCAAAGCAGTTTGTTATTGGTTGTACAAGAGTTGATCTCTACCATCTGTGACAGCATCCACTTTCATGGTGCACGGAAATCTCGTGGTTTTTATGGTTTCTACTGTAGTGGTGGGTACTTCAGTTGTGGTACTAGTACTTATAGATACATCTGGTTTTCCTATGAATACAAACATTTTATGAAATATCCATTAGGCACTCTTTGTCACATATGCTTTGTAATTGTTGAATCACAGAAAACGTTTACCATAAATAGATTGGATCCCGTTGATATCATCTTGATGTAAAGTCATGTCTGGGTCGTAGCCTTTGTAAAATGGAGCCATAAGAGATTCTGGTTCTCTTGAATGACTAAGTCCAAGAGCGTGTCCGAATTCATGAGCGGAAACGGTTTGTAGCTCAGTTCCGTCTTTCTGATACGTCCATAACTCATCATCATCAAAGTGGGTTTCTCCATTGGTTGGAAAGAAGGCGTGGGCCAGTACGCTGCCTGGTACGATAAAGTACAATGTTGTAAGTAAGAATTAAACTGTTTTCCTGTAGTATGATGCACGAGTAAACCAAACTTTATGGGAATATTTACCTCTGCCATCAAAAGCATTGTATTTTCCATCGCCGTGGTTGCCTTTACCAAATGATATTTTTATGTCAGCATTCCCAGTTGTTTCTTTGAATTTGAGTGGAGTGACTTCTGACCAGTATTTTAACCCGTTCTCAAAAGCTGATCTTAATTGGTAATTGAAATGTATAAATGAAGGTTGATAAAAGCATATCTTTAATTGTAATATATAACGAAAATTTAATTAAACAAGAAATGTTATAATTTATTAATATTTAAGAATCTAATATAAAATTCCAGTCTTTATTCGCTTGAATTTCACTCACCTTTGCTCTGACTTTGGTAATTGCTCTGTGTAAGAATTTACTTTCCATGAAATGATTTTATTTGGCCATTTCTTTCCTGAAAATGATAGACCGTTTTGTATAAATTTATGTATTCCATGGTTGGAAAAAAAAAATTACATACTGCAAAAGACACTCTAATTATCTTACAAATCTTACCGATAGCTACAAAATTCTGAGGACCATTGAGAGATACAAGGTGCTTATCTGCTACTCCACAACGAGGCTGTTTCATTTTGAGAATCGTTGCCTCATCAATTTCTCCAGTAGCTTTTAGGCCACTGAATTCCTGAAATTCTCTAAAATAAAAAAAAATCTCTAATAGGAAAAAAGCGGAGAGAAATATTTTGTATTGTGAGTAAACAAAAGGAAATTGCATAGTCTCAATATTACATGTAGTCGTACTGCATTTCAACCAATTTATATTAAATAATATAAAATTTGGTGTTAAGAGTACTTAAAATTTTTAAAAACAGTTTATATTCTAAGACATTATTTAAGAGGTGTTCACCTTATAGCCTGACGTCTGTCTGCATCACTACTTGCGACACCCGTGCCACCCGAGGGTGTCTTGGCCGGAGTGAGATACCCATATTGAACGAGATAGTCCTAAAACGAAGGAAAAAAATTACATATTTATCAAGCTGTCTGTATACTATAAGGGAGTATAAAAAATTAATATTTATGGCAAACAATGTGATTGACAGTATTATTCAAATTTATGTACATACGTCAATGTTGAGTGGCTTTTCATTCAGTGGCAGCGCGACTCCAAGACTTATGCAACATAATGCCAATATAATTTTAAACATGTTTGGTGATATTTAAAGCAATATATTGTTTTTCTTTACTGGTAAGTTTCTTCGGTTGCTTCTGTTTGTAAACAGATGGTTTCATGACGAGTAGCAGTTTACCTCTCTTTATATACAATCTTAACCCGGATCTGATTGGACAGGCCAGTACTCCTACAAGTGCCAATTAAGTGTGATTTGTACTTAATTCGGAAATTGTTTGTTAATATCTGTAACCTTACGTCACCTTCTTCTCATTTGTTCTTTTGGTCACCTTCCCAAATATTTCGTTGTTTTGATGCATGAGACTTTGGACCCAGACATCTTTCAATATTGTTATTCAATACTGTAGGAAGATGAAAGATAATTTTTGAAGCGGAAAATAAATTCATTTCTTTTTTGCGTGCAAGCGTACTTGTATTTAACTATGAGTAAACAACCAATTGAGCGACTGCATATTATAAATACGCTATTGCATGCATATGGTTTAAGAGAATCAAAGAGTTGTTCCTTTGGTAGGAATTTAGGAGTGACCACAGTCCAGATTTATGCCGTGCAGACTTTTACTTTTTTCCATCACTTAGCTGTATACAAGTTGAATCAACACTAGGTCATTTAGATTCGACACATTATTCTGTCAATGAAAATAACCACACATCTATGATTTATAAACCCTTTGATTGATATATTTATATTATATATTTTTTCATAAATACAAAGAGTATAAAAACTTACATAAAAATACGCAACTTGGAGATGATCAATGGGGTGAGGGGGTCCAGACCCCGCTGGGATTTTCAGATTTATTAAGTTTGTGTAGTAAAGTAACCAAAAATGACATTGTATCCATCAAATGAGAGTCAGACTGGCATTTTTTTTGAGTGGGTGTGGACATCCCATCTCCCCCAAGGAAAATTTCATAGATTCGCCCAGTATATATCTGCAAAGAAATTAATATACTGCGTAAAAGTTTTTTAGGCTTTGCGATGAAACTTAAGGTGATTGCTCTTTCCGACTTATCAAAGACCCCATTTATTTTGAGGCCAAATGGTGAATGGTCAAGGTCACAATTTCTTATATGGCATGAAATGGTTTCCGGATTCAGTCGAATACTATGTATAACTAAAACATGACCTCTTGAGGCGAAGGGTCAAAGATAAATATCACAAACTTGCAGCTGGACATAAATTCACTAAATTTTGGGTACATGGAAGAATAAATAAATGCATTTTATATTTGTCTTGTAGTTTTGTCCGAGTCAAATGATTTTTTTCTTTTTAGAATGATACTAATATTTGTGTAAGCATAAGTATTTTCCATTTGCCAAAATAATGCACTGCCAGGAAATTGTATAAAATGATTAAGTCCACTTGCTACAAACAATTTTTTTTAATTTAAAAAAATGTGAAAATAGATATTTATCTACCTACTGTAAATGTACATAGCGCACTAAACAAAGGCGGACCCAGCGCGGCACCCCCCCCCCCCCCCGTTTGAATTTTTTTTACATGTATGTAGAACTTATATGTCCATTATCCTAAAATCTAGGAGGAAAACCCTCTTATTTGTAAGAAATGGTCAGTTTCTTTGCCCTGGACCAACTGGAGGCTTCAATGCACCCCAGACCCCCATGCCATCTACCCCCCCCCCCCCCGGTTATGAAATTCCTGGATCCGCCACTGCTCAAAATTGAGCTCAATCTTTCTCTTCAGCGAATTAGCTCTTGAAAGTGCGCTAATTTATGATTGCACCAATCATAAATTAGTCTTGTAGCCGATCAGTAACATGAATTAGTGTGTACATGAATTAGCGAGTATACATGAAGCAACACGAAAGGCGCTAAATAAGGACCACCGCTTTTGAAAATAAGTACGCTTTCAGTATGTTTATAAGTAAAATGAATATGTTTAACCATGCACTTAAGGTTCTTTTCAAGATTTCTGTTTGTCATTTAAAATGATTCAAAAATTTTCAAAGAATAATAGGAGGAAAGGGAAAAGTTATATCAACTTTTAACATCATAGAAAATCTATAATTTCAATATTTTAAAATAATTACATCATTCTCCGCTCCAAAATATAGACCAATTTCATACATTTAATATTTATGTTCTTTACAGCAAGTGAAGGTGTCCTTAAATAAAAACAAACAATACTACTTTGTAATTATTAAAGTACAACCACTGGGTTTTTTTTCAATTCAAGTGAATTTTGAAAGTATAAGATTTCCCATTGACCATCAAACAATATTTTTACAAAAAGTCATCAAAAATCCTATATTGCTAGGATTTCCCTGACGTCACCTCATAACAGTAAAAATGGGATGCTATTCGGCCAGCGTCACGGATGACGAGGAAAGTACAAAATGAATGTACTACTCTTAAATATTGTCAATTACATTAATACTGTAAGGGAGTTAAAACATTACCAATTGTGCAGGCTTACTTTTTAATTCTAATATTTCTTAGTAAAAAAAATAATGAACGCATACCAAGGAAATTTCAACACAGCAGTAACATTGACAGAACACAAATTAAAAGTCAAGAATGAAATTTTATTTGTATTCCTCATATTTAAAATCATTAATCTTTAATAAAGGCACCAAGGTCAATAATACAAAAATAATAAAGTAGAAAACAAAAGTAAAAAAAAAAACTATTCGTATTTTTTTTTTAATTTCAATGTTCTTTATGATTATATTTTAAAATCAAAATTGTGTGCTGAATAAATATATTGCGGAAAAGTAGATGAAAGACACGGTGGTAGATCAGTGTCCATTAGTTTTAAGTCTGTATGCTCAAATATAAAGCCCTTAAATTCCTTTCTCTTAAGGACCCTCCTCCTTCCAATTAAAAGGACACAGGCGTCACAAAACAGCCGCCAGAAGTTATAAGAATCTCTGGCCCATAAAAAGTATCTGCTTCTATCACTGAAAAGCTATCCATTGACAAGTCACCTAGCAACAAGGCCATGTTAACCACTGGCCCGTAGTCCTCTGAGTGTCTGAAAAAATGCGATTAACTTTATTTATTTTTCGCTGCCTTTCAAATTTTGAACTTTCATTTTAACAAATTTTATCATGTAATATAAGTGATAAGGATAAATACATTTTTGATATATCTATATCGTTCCGTCTTTGAACTTCTGTCCACTTCCTTCAACGACATTGTGGACAGAGTGAATTTCAGAAATGACATGTACATGTATTTTAATATTACTTATTTAATTTATTTCTGGCAACGAATGGAGGTTACTCTATTGGGTCAATTCTGATTTTGGAACAACTGCATGTCTTTTAGAAAAAAAAAATCTGTGAAAATCATAACCAAGTTAACTGCACAATGAGACAGGTATTTGCCATTCTTTCCCAATAACTAATCCTTCCATAAAATAGAGATACATGTAAGTTCAAAATGTTGTTTTAATTTCCCCTGCCACCTGGCTGCTTGTCGGAATCTGGACAGTTTTTCGACTTGGAGGCAAAGTTGCTTTAGTTTCCACGGAGGTCTGACACAGTGTTCATCTTCAGTGTTAACTTTCCTATTGACTGTTTTATGTCATCGAATTGTTCAGGAAGAATGGTTTACAAATTTTAAGCTTATATGTATACATGTATATATCAAGATAAGTTATCTTTTTAGGTCATCTGAGTCACTGAGGTGACCTATTGCTATCTGTTTTCGTCCGTCGTCTTGCGGGTGTGCGTCGTGCGTAAACTTTTCACATTTTCGACTTCTTCTCAAGAACCACTGGGATAATTTCAACCAAACTTGCCACAAAGTATCCTTGGGTAAAGGTGATTCAAATTTGTTCAAATGAAGGGCCACGCCTTTTTCTAAGGGGAGATAATTAAGAATAAGTGAAAAAATAATGGCATCTTTTAAAAATCTTCTTCTCAAGAACCACTGAACCAGGTAAAATGAAATTTATATGGAAACATCATCAGGTGGTGAAGACTCAATTTTTTTAAAATCATAACCCCCAGGGGTAGGGTGGGGCCACGATGGACGATCAAAGTTTTACATAGGAATACATAGGAAAAATCTTCTCCAGAACCACTGGGCCAAGAAAGATGAAACTTATGTGGAAACATCCACAGATAATGTAGATTCAAGTTTGTTCAAATCATGACCCCCGGGGGTAGGGCGGGGCCACAATGGACGATCAAAGTTTTTCATGGGAATACATTTGGAAAATCTTCTCCAGAACCACTGGGCCATGAGAGATGAAACTTATGTGGAAACATCTTCAGGTAGTGTAGATTCAAATTTCTTAAAATCATGATCACCAGGGGTAGGGTGGGGCCACAATTGTCAATGAAAGTTTTTTTATTGGAATGCGTAGGAAAAATCTTGAAAAAAAATTTTCTCAAGAACAGCAAGGCCATGATTGGTTATATTTACATGGAAGCATCCTCAAGTAGTATAGATTCAAGTTTGTTCAAATCATGACTTTGGGGATATGTTGGGGCCAAAATGGACGATTAAAGATTTACATAATGAATACATAGGAAAAATCTTTAACAATCTCCTTCTCAAGAATAGCAAAGCCATGATTTGCGTTATTTATAAGGAAGCAACCTTGGGTGATGTTTATTCAAATTTGTTCAAATCATGACCCCCGTGGGGTAGGGAGGGGACACAACAGGTGATCAAAGTTTTAGTTAGGAATATATAGGAAAGATCATTTAAAAATCTTCTTCTCAAGAACAACAAAGCCATGATTAGTCATTTTAATACAGAAACATCTTCAGGCACTGTAGATCACTAAATTTTCGTGACACTTTATTTTCGCGAGATAGTCATCGACTCCCTATTTGCGAGACAGAATATTCACAAATTGTGGTTATTGCTCTATATAATCTTTAGTAATACTAATATACGCGAGAATGAAATTTTCGCAAGGGCACTGTCTTTCGTAATTACGAGAAAATAAAGTTTTCGTGAATAATAAGTTATTTATAGTAGTGTAGATTCAAGATTGTTCAAATCATGACTCCCGGGGGTAGGATGGGGCCACAAT